CCTAGTTCTTGCAAACAAAATATTGGATTAATTGACATTTTAATACACTTAAAAATTTTTTTTTTTGGGTATTAAATATATTTAATGTGTATTTTACCAATTTACATTTTCATACCTCCAGATATTTTGTTTAAAATTTAAGATTTTTTCGTTATTACTATTTAAATTTAAATTCCATTATATTTGTTTATTATTTATAATTTATATTTAAATAATAAATTTAATTTAATTTATTTTAATTAAGCACATATGAGACCTATTTGCAGAGTATTGCATAGTCGAACAATTGTAAACAATATTTAGCAGACTTTTTTCCTGCCTTTCGTTCATCGCATGGCAAACCAATTTCAAGCATATTTTTATGAGCATACTGTGCAGCATTTGCGAAACTGTCGACAGCCAGAATTTGTTGGTGTAGTGGGAGGGGAAGGAGGTTTTGGAGGTTGCTTGGCAGGCGCTCCAGCTTTATTTTATTTTTTAAACGTGCGCCAAGCCGCGCCTTGCCGCCCACCCCGTATATGGACCGGAAGCTAATACAACTTGCGAAAACGGAGAAGCCGCGCTGAGAGAAATTAAATCGTTCAATTAGTTTGAAATTTCGTAAGTTATAGTAGCAGACAATATAATAGAATGAACTTTCAATTCAAATAGATATTCGATAATTATCAGTTCATTTTAGAAGAGTGAGCATTATTCTTGAAACAATTTAATGTAACATACTTTTTTGAGGCCACGAATATCGTATTCCGGGCAACTAAAACCATTATTATTAGCTCCGTTTTTATTAGCATAATTATGAGAGCAGTCTTATTAGATGAAAAAGGACAGTAAATATTAATTAGCTTCATGATTATATGTGTTAATTAAGAGTTTACAGTCTTAATAATAATTTACTCCAAAATCGATTTTGTGACTGCATTTTTTAAATAACATAGAACTTTTATGGAATTTGACTAAGATTTCATGCAATTCGATTAACGCTAGCAACTGTGTAATGCAATAGAAAATATTAATATTCTATAACAAAAACGATATAACACTAAGAAGCACTACTAACGCTTCAAAAAATATATTTAGCCGTGCAGATAAAAATCTGAAATTTACTCAAAACCTTTAATTCGTGTCCGAGTGATATTTGTTTTGGGATCATTTGTGCAATGAAATTTCGAAGCTTAAACTGAAATCCAAGTTGCAATTTGTAGATTTAAAAAAAAGTTATTTTCATTATCTTTGAAGGGAGAGATTTAATTACTATAATTTAACAGCTTTAAAAAATAAATACGGTAGATAGTAAGGTTAACAGGTTAAGGTTAAATGTGTAATAACATAAATTTTTGGGAACATCATTTATACAGACACACTTAAGAAAATCCCTGAACCCCTAATCAATGCTGTTTATTCTGATAAATGCAATATTTAATAAGAGTGCAATTTTTTGACAAGAAATTACAAAATTAATTAAACTTACATCAACAATCGCAGCAAATCAAAACCCAATAGAAATACTGCAACTAAACAGATTGGAAAGGCAATAATAAAATACATCTTGATATTATTCCCATATTTTGAACAGTGTACAGTCTCGTAATGGACGCATTATTTGTGGCTTCCAATTTCGCAGGCATATCGCTGACATTTCGACTGCTTTTTATGTGCCTTTTTAGCAAATTACAAAACTGCGCCATTTTTTTTCTTTTCCAATTCACACAGCACACAAAACTGTGCGCCTATAAAACAACTACACACTCACTCACACACACACACACACTCGCAAGCACAGGCAGACAGCAATGGGACAATTTTCAACGTGGCCTCCTAAAAATATGCAACATTTTTTATATGTTTCTGCTTCACAAAGTTTCGGCGTCATAAAATTTTTTCTGCTGTGTCTGCCAGTTCGTCGTCGTTGTTGTTGTTGTTGTTGTTGTAGTCCTTCTTTCTGCTGCTGTTGTTTTGTGGCCAGGCTATTATACCGTTCTCTCTGTATGTGTGCGTGTGTGTGTTTGTGTGTATGCTTTTTATGACCCAATATGGCCGCCAAGCGCGGAGTACGTGTTTCTTCCTGCGTCTGTGCGGGTTTGTATGAATTATATAGATTTTTATGCGGTCGCATATTATTTTTGTTACTATTCTTATTCTTATTTATTTTTTTGTTTATTTTTTTCTGCTGTTGCCCTTCTTTCAGTGTCTTTCTCAGCATGCCTTTCTTTTTTGGAGCAATAAAAATTACTTTTTATATGTGTGCCGCTATCTGGCAGATCTCCCTGCATAATGTTAGCAGCCGTTTTTGCTGCTCTTTATGAATATTTCGCTGGGTCTGAGTTTGACTTTTATGTTTCAGCTGAAGCTGCGACAGGCCGCATTCATTATTCGCATATAGTACTCATATAAATACAATATATATATATTATATATATATATTATATATAGGAATTACTCCTATACTTGGCACGCTCTTTTCTCTACGCTCTCTCTCTCTCTCCCTCTCTCTCTCTCTCTCTCTCTCTCTTTCTCTTTCTGTCTATCTTTCTCTATGCTGCCCGCTGCTTTTGTCATTTTTGCATTAATTTTCGGATTTTGTGTGTTTTCTGCCGCTGCTGTTTATTCCGCATAAATAATAAATATTTTTGGTTATTGCGTCTGCACAGCATTAATATTATTTTCCACACACGCGCACACACACACGAGCACACACATACACCAACACACATAACCACGCACACTATGCATTAAGGACGGCAGGACAACGCATGGCCGTGAGCTTTAATTTTGGCTCATTTTTCGTTATCAAAACATTTGGCTTATGTGCGTGTACTTGTTGTTATTGTTTTTTACTCATACGTACATAAATATTTGCAATTAAATATGCCAAAATACACAAACACTCACACATACACACACGCACCTAAACAAACAGGACGATATCTTCATTTGATGCCAAAGTTTGGGCCTATTTTATGCGGCAAAAATTGCACAATTTCTCTTATTTCGAGTTTCACTAAAATGAATTTTGTACTAGTTTTAAAAATCTTAATTGCAATTTTTAACAATGTATGTAGTCTCAAAATGTGGAGCTTTCAATTCCGATTTTGTTTCGTATTTGCATAGAATTTAAAAATATTGCTCGAAATTCACTTGATTGAGCTTTTAATATGGATTTAAGCTTTAAGAATTTTAACTATACATTTTTTATTACGGCCCTAAACTTTAAAAATTTAAATAATTGTTTATTTGTTAATTCATTAATTTAATGTCGACAAATATTGTTCGAAACAAAAAAATAAAACACAATAAAAACTGGGGATTTTGAACTGGTTGATTTTTACAATGAGTTATTTAAAATATTGCTAAATCTGATATTTAGATACAAAACGAGAAAATTTTAAGGTTCAGATAAAATAGATTTGGTGACATTTAATTGCACAACTTTTTTTTCAAAGCTATTGAAGTTTAAAATCGAATGATGTTTTATTCAAAAACTATTTTTTTGTTAAGAAAATGTTAAAATGACTGATACTTTTAAGTTTTAAATATCCCCCATTCTAGACTAACTGAAATATTTGTTAAGGAACGATTCAGTTTTTATTGCTTGTTATGAATCTTTGATATAATAATATTGAAAATTCAAAATAACTGATCTATAAATAATAAATCTGTGCCCAGAAAAACAGATGTTTGAAAATTAATTTTTTAATGAGTATAATAAATTTGATTATATTTATTTAATTATTTTAATTTGGATTTTTATGTTTATATCATTTCATAATTATAAACCTTATCTTAATGAAGCTATAAACCTTATCGTAATGAAGCTATAAACCTAATCTTACTCGAATCAAGCATCGTAAAAAATGTTCTATACAATAAATCATGTGCAATACAAACTGAACTGCATTTGTTAATTTGTCATACAATTTCTTTCCATAAGTTGTGACAGTCTGTCTGCTATACACAAATACCCATAAGCTTACTCAATTCTTAATTTAGGTACACACATAAGTACACACAAGTAAATAAATAAATGCGAGTGCATGTGCACCCATTTAACAAGGGGCCAATGAACAATGGGGTCTTATCAGTAACGTAGACCCACACATGTTTCTCGCAAGGCGGCCGATTGATTAAGATTCAAGTGCCAAGTGCCGTTGATAGCTAATCGGGTCGCTTAAGGCGCCTCAATTGTAAAATTGTAACCAAGCTAAACTAATTCACCAGCAACAGCAACAAATACAAAACAACGTACTTTGTACGACGCCACAAAGGAAGCGAGAGAGAGAGAGAGAGAGAGAGAGAAGAGCGATAAAGAGTGTCTATGGGAGAGTGACTCAGAGAGTGTGGCTGAACGTGGATAGACTCTTTTCGCAGAGACGTAGCTAGTGCTGCCACAATCAAAAAAGCTGATTAAAAAAAAAGCTAAGCAAATTAATTGAAAAGGTGATAATGCAAATTTTATATGCAAATTAAATTGTCTAATGATTAATGTAACTGATTTTAACATTTCGGATTGCAAGTAAGTGCTTTATTACATTATTATTTTTTATATAATTTTACTGTTCTCATAATTGACTTGAAATTAATTATTTAGTTTGTATATATTCGTGCCGGGTCACTTTAGTTGACATTGAATAAATAAATAAATAATAAGTTCGCAAGTTTAGTATTATTTTCTTAAGCAAAAGCTTTTTTCGTAAAATTTGCATTGCATTCAATTATAGGGAAAACTCAGCTAAAGTTAAATCTAATGTTTTCTGATTTGTTTGTGACTCTCCCCCTTCCCCCTGCGTATGCTCTTAGTTTTAGAAATAGCTCGACTTAAGCAGTATCTAGCTATTAACTTTAAAGACTAGCCAGATCTAGCAGGAAACTAGCTAAATTGACAGCACTGCTAAACAGTGCTGCAAAATCCTCGACAACTGCGCCTCTGGATGATGTACAAAAGCGCCGTTACTATCTTGCGCATTCGACAACAACAGACAGAAACATTTGAGCTTCTGTCCAATCGATACATTATTTAATTCGACGTTCGCGTGAACGGGTGGTACCATAAAATTAGCTTAAAACGATTACAAGTCGCAAAGGTGCAGGTATTAAATAATAATAAACAATTTACCATGTCCGAAGAGCAGTCGCGGACTATGGAAACCGATCAAATACACTTTGTGCGCGAAAAGCTGCAAAAGTTTCAGAGCAAAATGTTGCTTGACTTTGATCAGCGATTGTCCTGCTTGATCGAGGATGTGCTGCAGGACATACGACAGCAAGAGTTGCGTGCGCACGAATTCCGGCACTTTGATATCTCCACTTCCAGGGAGAGGGGCCCAGTGGCCAATGCCACATGGCACAATCGACGGCAGCTAGCATCTTCGATCAAATCAACGACAGACTTTGACGTAATCGACTACCCAAATGGGCAGGCGGATGCCCAAAATGAAACGACCAAAGCGCAAACACAACAACAACAGCAAGCGGAACAAAGAAGACGACGTCAGCTGCCGGACAAAGTGTTTGTGACTCGCGAATCGTATTTGACGGCATTGCTCCAGGTGGAGCACATGCGCACCATTTATCACATATTCGGCATAATTCTGGTAATGTTTCTGCTCAACGTCATTTGCTACGACTACTTTGTCGAGGGCAACTTCAATCTTGGCCTGGGCACATTCCGGGGCGGCCTCAAACGCCTCCATTGGGTTATGGGCGTTTGGCTGCTGGAGCACATCTTTGTGCTGACCTTGTTCTATGCATTCCAGGGCTGGGCTGTAGTGCGTGCCAAGCTGCAATCTTACAGTAAGTTTATCTCCTCAAAAATATGAATCATCCTTCATGTCAAAGTTTTATTTATTAATTTTGTTTTTATTTTTCGAATAAATTTAATGTTCAAAATAAGTGTAGATACAATTAAATTTAAATGATATGCAGGTTACCATAATTATTAATTTGATTTACAGTAAAACTTCCCTATGGTGTATTAATTTAAAAAAAAAAAACTATTATGCAAAAATTATTATTATTAAATTATATTAAAATGCTAGGCAGTATTCCAAACGTGTTTAAATTATATTTTTTGGTTTCCTTTTACATATTTATTGGCTGTCGATATTTTAAATGTGTGTTTTGCTGTCTCAAATTCGAAAACTCAAAACATATTTACATCATAAAAAGAGATCACCACACTATAATAATTAATTATAATTTTAGAAAATGCTAATATATATTTTTTTCATTTAGTTTTCTAGTAAGTTTATATAATTCTAATTCACTCGATGCTCTCACCATTTTGCAGGCTCGTTGCAGCGCTTTTGGTCGCACAGCTGCCTGATCCTGTATGTGAGTGCCCAGCTGGTGTTTGGCTATGTGTCCACCTCGTTGTGCCTGAAGTTCCAGCTGCCGTTTGTGAGTGCCTGTGTGCTGCTCCTGGAGAGCACTCGACTCTTGATGAAGATGCACGCTTTTGTGCGCTACAATGCGGAACGAGTGCTGCTCGGCAAGCAGAAGACAGATGATGATGATCTCCAACATCCTGCACGTTCTCCGTATGTGCCGCCACTGCATTGCTATGTGTACTTTCTGTTTGCGCCCACACTCATCTATCGGGATAGCTATCCACGCACCTCGCACATTCGCTGGAAGTTTGCGCTATGCCGCCTCCTGGAGATTGTTGCGATTGCATTTCTGTATGCCTTCATCCACGAGCGGCACATTCACGAGCATTTCGGCAAGATTGGCAAGGAGTCGCTGGGTGCACCACAATTGATCGTCAAGTTCTTTGGCATGATTCTGCCGAGTGCGGTAATCTTCTTGTGCGGCTTCTATATGATACTGCACTCGTGGCTGAACTTTACATCGGAGTTACTGCGTTTCGGGGATCGCATGTTCTACAAAGACTGGTGGACATCCCACACTTACGATAGCTACTATCGCAACTGGAACGTCGTCGTCCACGATTGGCTCTACGAGTATGTTTATCGGGATGTCTACAGGCACATTTTCAAGGGCTCCAAGCTGGCTGCATCGCTGCTGGTGTTCATGATATCGGCACTGGTGCATGAACAGGTGCTGGGATTTGCGCTCCAAGTGTTCTTCCCGGTGATGTTTGTGCTGTTTGGTGGTGTGGGCGTAGCATTGGTGTTCCTCATGCGCAGAGCCCCCAAGAAGCTGGGCAACATATTGCTCTGGTTCTCGCTGATCTCTGGCAACGGCATGCTGATCTCACTGTATGCCATGGAGTATTATGCAAAGCGTAATTGTCAGCTGGAAATGGTCAGTTGGTCGGATTATTTAACGCCAGCGATCTGGCGTTGCTATCATTAGTTGTTCGAACAAAAATCTTATGTTTAGAGTTCTAGTTGTAATTTGTACACAAATACGTTTTGTATTTTATACTTAAATAAACTTAATGAACAATTCATTAAAATGCTTCGTTTTCAAAATGCAAATGATAAACTTAAGGGAAAATATTCACATACATCTCTAAAGTAATTGTATCAAAATTATTTTACATCAAGTTGTCTGATGATAAGGCTCCAATCCCCTCTATTGAATACTGTCTAACAATAACAATCTCCACCGTCCACTCAACTAGCCACCAAATCTTTGTTGTTGCTCCTCTCCTAGGCGCAAACATTGACATTATTCGAGACGGTTGCTGTTGGCTGAGATGCGGCTGCTGCTGTTGGAGTCTCATCCTCCACGTGCTTGCGCCGAAATAGTATAACATGCGGCTCCGGTGCATGCATCATGTAGTGCACCCAGCCGGGACTCTGCTGAACGCCCAAATTGCGCCATTCCGTCTCCGTCATCAAATGGGACTTGGGAACATGTTTGGCCAGGTCGGGCGGCAGAATTACGTGCCTATAAGCGACAAATCGTAATAGTCAATAAATGAGCAGTTTTAAATATTTGTCTACGATACCTGTATTCAAATTTATCATCAAAGTACTTCTCAGAATATTGAATTTGATCGGCGGGCATGTTTATTATTTATTTATTTATTATTACTGAGTTCTTGTCAATGGATTGTACTGATTGTGGAGGTCGGTCGATAGTGGCAGTGTTATTAATAAACAGAACACAAGCGAATTACTGCGCATTTCAAAACACCGCTCCTCTTCTAACAGACATCAGAACTCGATCTCATTTAACATTCTGTTAACTAACTTTCAAATAGACTTAATCTATATTCTTATCTACTATTTCGGTTAATTTTTTTTATAAAATTTAACAGTTTTCCATATGAAAATCAATTTCAATAATACATAAAATATTAATACAAAAATATGCACATCGATAAAAATAACCATATACAATTTACTAAAACTCTTTTGACACATAAGCTATCCGCATCAATTTATAAGTACAAATTAAATGTTAAGCATCAAAACAAATGAGCGAAAATAAGTACTGTTAACACACTGCAGTTCACTGGAACAAACTCAACGAGTCAGTTCAGTGAACAACTCTTTTGTTCGTTCACTCGTGAACAATCCAAATATACTCCACATGTGCAGCCAAAGTACAACAGCACCATAAAAGCCCAAAAATTTGGAAAATATTTACGTGCAAAACCCAAATAAGTCTATTAAAAAAAGCTGCTGTGTGCGAGTGTGTAGCGTGTGAATCCTTTGTCGTCGGTGTGCGTACGTGTCCGTGTCCAAAAGTTACGCGGCGCTGTTGTGTGTGAGAGCAGAGAGGCAAATATTTAATTGGATTTTATATAAGCGCCGTCGTTGTTTTTCAACATTATTAAATAGTAACACACGCAATTCACACACACACACACACATGTACAGCCAGACAGACAACGCATTTCTGTTGTGTTACCATCGCTACAAGAAGATTCCCATGACAACAACAGCAGCAACAACAACAATGACAACGTAGAGTAAATATGCATATGGGCGAACACAATTAAAAATACACCAAAGAGCGGCCAAAAACAGTTCCAGTTCCCCGCCCAGTGTTAGACAGCCACACACGCATATACTCAATATATATATATATATATGTACATATATATGGAAGCATGTGTGTGTGTGTATGAGCCACCTGCTGCTGCTGCTATTGCTAATGCTGTCTACGCCACTCGTCTACAAAAAGAACAGCAGCAGTAACTTTAAAGCGAACATCTCTACATACAACTGAAGCAGCGCTGCTGCTGCTTCAAGCTGTCCCGGTGACACCGGGCAATAGAGGGCGCTAAACACGCTGCCCTACATTGACGTCAAAAACAATAACAAAAATAATAACAAGATTAACTGAAGCGGCAGCAGCAGCAATAACTACAATAATAATTATAATATGAACGCCAGCCTGATATATGAGATACTCATGTATTTGAACTCATTCTATTTTGGCATGTATGCCGCCTTCGAGGTGGGCGTGGGCGTGCTAAAGGCAATAAATCTGAATTATGGCGAAAACGTTCTGTCACGTGAGGCGACAATTCTGCTCTCCTTGTGCATCATCGAAACGTTACGCATTGTCTTTGGTCGCAAGAGCAGCCTCAGCGATCGTGGTGAGTAATAATCAACACTACAAACCAAATATACACATTCGAACATACATATATACACTTCGATACACACACACACACGCATATTTGCAAATTTATTTGATGTTGGCAACACTTGCCTATTTGTTTACTTAATGAACTGTGCTCTGCCAACAAACTCAACAGTTGACCGATAAGAACGTAGAGCTGGAGTCTGCTGGGCGGGTAGTGGTAAGTGGAGGGGACTGCTATGATGACATGAATATATTATTTGCTGTGGTCTTCATGGCACAACAGTGTCATCGCTGTTCAGTACCTCACCGCTCACCCCTGACCCTCAAACTCCACCACTCACCGCCTGTGTTTGCAAGCTATTCAGATTCCACATTGCGTATGCGTCATTTTATCTGACAAGGAATTTTAATCTGTCCAAAACTGAATTAGGTTTATAGCTTAATTCGTTGTCGTTTCGAATTAAAAACACAAACAACCCTTAAGATCTCATAATTTAGTTTTTAAGCATATTACTTTAAAAAAAATACATATATATATGTATCCGATGTCCGATGTCTATATTTTTTTTTTTGCAGTTACGCCAAACTCCAGCGTTATTAATTACTTTTCAAGCTTTTTTATTGTACCAATATATACTGGTATCGTACCGTAAAAATGGGGGTTTAAATTACGTATTGGTAATCGAATACTTTACGTACTGGAATCGGAATCGTAACTTAAATTATGTTTGGCTTGACACCCTGTTTAAAGCATTTCACGTGTTTCGACAAGATTGCCATTAGGCCAAATGCAGTCTCAGCAAATTCAGTACTATACTTTCATGTTCAACTCTAAGAAAGCCTTTATATTTGAGTTAGTTGACTAAGATTATACCTTGTAAATAGTCATAATTCATAAATTAATGAAAAGTTTAATAAGACGAAAATTACATTATTTTTCAAATTAATCTTTACTATGCAAACTAATTTATACTGCGCATAAATACAAAAGCTGAAATTATCTCTTATAACTTATTTCGATATCGAAAGAAAACTATATTCCTTAGCAAGTGATATATTGAGAATATATTAAGATGTAGCTGATATCTAGAATGGCACACAACCAGACACATAAACATACACACTACCAAATATATCTATTTAAAATATAAAATAGTATTTGATACTACATCTATCCTGTATATATATTACTAATTATAGTCTCTACTGATATTTTGCAGGCTGGCAAGCGACCGCATCCGTAATATTAACACTGCCCAGTCTTGCTATTGTTATCTATTTGTGTTGTTTTCAAACTTATGTTCTCAAACTCGAAATTATTCTGAGTGCCTTAATGATCACCCTACAAGGTGCTGAACTAGTCTACGCCAGCATATTCATTTGTACAATGTGCCGACCCGTCACATACACCTAGCAGTTGGTCAACGTTGCCACGTCGATGCCCATGGCCAAGCCACCAGCACTAGCACCACTCCAACAAGGAGAACCGGCACAGATTGATGCTGTTGCTGGAACAGTTCGACGACGACAACGCAACTTTTGGTATAATTATGTCAAGCAGTTTACGTTTAAGTTGAGCGATTTTGATGTAGGCTAAGCCACTTAAGCACACACGCACACAAACAGACACACGACTTTAAGGATATATACACACCACGAAGACAGGATATTCGATGAAGAACCAAAATACGCTGGCGTATTCCTCGCAACACCAAAAAAAAAAAAACAAGAACACAAACACAATCAAATCCCAAAGAAAACCAAACGTATCCAGACTGGAGCCAAGAAATCGCTTTAGCGAACGAGGTGTGTATGAAAACCGATATCTTATATAAGGTCTATTACGTGTAAGGAAAGCACTCTCTTTTAAATACATATACATACATATATATATATATATATATATATATAAATACTGCACAGATATCACAACGCGACGCGACTCGTCCGCTTCGATCAAAAGCGCCATTTGATTTGAATGCAGTGCGCATTCTTTTGTCCGGCCTTTGTCGCCTGTCGCGTTGATTCGCCGGACCCGCTCGTTGTTGGTGTATTTTTATAATCTAAAATTATATATACAACTACACTTGATACATAAGTAGTCTATGTGCAGCAGCAGCAACAGCAGCAGCATCATCAGTTGGCATCGTTGTCGCTGCTCATCATCGTTGCAATGTACACTTTTAATTCATGTCTAACACATACAGCGATTGGCTAATGAGTTTAGGCCACACTGACTTGAAAGGGACCATCCTAGCCCATTGAATTGGCTATTTAAATCGTTAAAAAAAAGTTGTGTTGAGTAAAATGTGGGTAGAAAAAATGCATTACTTATGGAATTTAAATCCTTTAACAAAATATTTATTTAATTATTATACTAGTACAGATAGATTACATTTGGAATATAAATCCTTTAAATATGATTTTACTGAGAAAAATGTTGGATAAAATTTGAAATTTTAAAATTGCATTTTAACCCTTAAACATATTTGAGTTGAAAACAATTAAATTATAAATATTGCATTACTTATACATTGAATTTTCAACTTAAATCTTTTACAAAATATTTGTTTAATTTTTAACATACGCAGATAGAACTTTTTTTTTTAAATCCTTAAACAAATCAATTTTTAATTACTTTACAAATCTTGATAATTGAGAAAAATGTAGTTAAAAAATATGCATTACTTGTATGCAGATTTTGCACTTAACATAGCTAAAAAAAAATGTTATTAAATATTGTAAAAACGGAAGTAGATTAAATTTGGAATTTATATTCCTAAAAATATTGCATAGTTGAGAATGATGTGTGCAAAAATTAAAAATACAAAAATTGAATTTGTTATTGCCTAAAATGTAATGAAATTATATTTGATTTGTATCGAAGACAGCAGGCGACTAAGAAAACGTATAAAGATAATTTAAAGTTCAATAAAATCAAGAATTATAGTTTAGTTAAAAAAAATATATTTTTTTATACCATGGTAAATTTTTTTAAAAATGGTAAAAACTAAAGGAACTTTTAAAACCGTTCCTCACAAAATCACAAATATTTAAGCAATATATTTGATTGGCATATATAAAAATCTTCGTTTTAGATAGTTGAATATATTGCGGGTTGTAATCTGGTCTGGGCAGGTCATTCATGCATTGCGCTTACCTGACCAAAGCAAAAATACATCTAAATAAAAACTAAGAAGGCGATTTTAAGCACCCAAAGGCGACAACGAGTAGCACATAATTCAAATAAATAACAACAACTACAGCGAAAAGAGCAACAAATGCCAACGACAGCAGAGCCAATGGCCAAGACAGCAGCAGGTCCACATTATTATTATTGTGGCCAGTCTAAAAATATAGCGCCCAACGTGAGCAACGTAGAAGCGTAGATCTCGGACGCGATCGTTGTTTTGCCGGGATTGCACAGAGCCAATTTGATTGTGTGTGTAAAACGTTAGCGTTAAGTTAGTGATAGTTAAAAATGCCGCCAAAGCGACCACCGCCACTTGTGCCAAAGAAGCCAAATCCCAGCATGAACTATGAGGTGTTAATCTACCTAAATAGTTTCTACTTTGGCATGTTCGCCTGCTGTGAAATGGCGATGGGTCTGCTCAAGGCGATCAATCTGAGCTATACGGGTCACACACTCGCCCAGGACTTGGCCGTAATGATTAGCTTCATAGTGATGGAGACGATGCGTTTAATAATGGGTCGCAAGGGCACGTTGGCGGAGAAAGGTACGCGGTGGCAGTCTAATTGACATACATTGTAATTGTCGCACATTGTCTATTTATAGTTGTTTTGTTTTATCAACGTTCTTATTTGACTAATTTCGCTCTTTCTCTCTCTATCTATCTCTCTTTTGTAGGTTGGACTGCCATACTGTCGGTTTTCCTGACCGCTCCGTGCTGTGTGGGCGTATTGTATCTGCTACTGTTGCAGACGTACCGGCTCCGTTTGGAATATTGTCTTTGTACGCTGCAGATCGCCCTCTACCTGACCGAGGTGTGGTACGCCATTGTCTTCGTTTTCTCACTGTGTCGTCCAGTAACTTATGATTAGTAACATACAAGCAACATGCAAACAGCAAGACGAGACATTTATACTGTACTTAGATGAAATAATAACATAAAATAATATAACAGAGATTAGCAATATACACACAAACAAGAAGAATTGAATAATGAGACATGTGAAATGAAATGGTACCCAAACCAAATATAAATATATATACATATATGACATATATTACAAATATATATATATATGCATCTCTACTTGTGTATATTAAGGTTTATGATAGCATACATACAAATATGTGTAATTATATACATATACTTAAAACGGTTTTATATACAAGAAAGAATTGATAACATTTAAGCATCAATTGGAACCAATACGACAAGAACTTGAATAATTTTCACATTTGTAAGACCATTTTTTGTATACATTTAAAACTAATATTGTAATATGGCCTAGAGAAACCAAATTTAGAAAGAGAATAGCTTGAATAGCACTTAGACACAATAGTACATAATATTAAAATGAATAACAATGAAAAAAAGTCATCCGAGAAATAGAAAACCATGTCAAAAATAGTTAAAAATCTATCTAAAAATGAAAACCATAACAACTTAAAACATAACTGCATATTTTAAAACTAGCCCACGAAAAAGTCAAAAGGCAATGTGTGTACTTTATAGAGATACTTTATATAAATCTAGCGAAAACCAAATAGCGTATTTTTAGCCGTTCAAGACGCCACTAAACAATGTATGAGTAAAGTAGAAACGATTTCGTAAATTAGGAGACATATTTAACACGTTTTACATGATGATGATGGTTCCTTCCTCCACCCCCGCAAAATCCATACAATCTCATTTGCATTTCTCTCATTAAACTGTGCACACCAAATGCTAGTCAAAAGTTATGGTCTTTTTTGTGCTTCGATTGCCAATTAATGCCATTAACCATTATCCCCCTCCATCCACCAGTCTAGTCAAAAGAAAATCTCAAAATCTCTCATGTATGAATAAAACCCTAAACGAATCCTATGTTGGCAACTTTAATTGTATAATATTTATATAAACTTTCTGTTGGAATCCATGTTAACATACATTTTTAAAATGCGATTGTCTAACAAACAACCAAAAAAAACTATGTAACACAATTTAGTTATAATAAAAGAAAAACAAAAAATAACCCTGATTTTGTGACAAATTATATACACTGGATGGAAAATACCAATTAAAGAACAAAAATGTATATAAATAGATATTAAATATTTCAGTTTATAAAACAACCTCATCTAATTGAATCGTTAAATAATCTTGACGTCAATAGATAGACAATAACATTGGATTTTAGTGTGAGGAATACGAGCGATTAAGCAAAAATGTACAAAGTCTACAATGCTTACTAAAAGTATTTGGCTCAAAAAATACCTGAGTCGAAATATCAATTTAGATCTTTAAATGTAATTGAACAATTAAGACTTATTTGGCTTTGCGAATGCAAACATCAATTTTGACTTTTCCACAAGATTTCCCAATATTTGCCACTTTAGATTTGCAACTAGAGTTACCAAACGTGGCAGGTATGTTTCTAGGACAATTCTCCTTAGATTATCAAGAAAATTTCTTAATCTTCTTTCTGTAATTTTAGATCAAACTTGGAAGGTGTATTTGTTGGTACCTCCTCATAAATCAGGAAAGCACATATTTCCCAACATTTTTACTGATTGAGTTATCAAATTTTGTAGTAGGCGGAGTTAATTTTAGTTTGCTCAGGCTCAGGCACACAATACATATTTATTATAACAGATTCAAATTGGCTCTTATATCAACACACAACATCTAAAGTTATAGTTATGGATACAAACCAAAAGTCTGGTAAGCGTTTAATGCATATTGCTTATAGCGCTCAATTCTCAAATTCTCCTTTCAGTGGAGAACTTTGAGACGTTGCAGTCGAGCGGCAGCCGTCGCGTGATGTGGGAGGGCTGCGTCGATGAAGAGGAAGTCTATGATTCCATTGTGACCTACAAGACATTATCTAGATCCCGCCAAGCAGGTGACTCAACCAGCACCACTTCTGAGCACATACAATCCCCGGCCATAGAATGTCAATCGAATATACAAACATCGGCCATCAAGTCATCGACAAGTCTGGCCATGCGCTACAAGCCATCGCATGAGTCGCTGCAGAATTTGGCCAGCACGAAGAGATCACATGCGAGGGGGTGCTGGCATCAGTTGGTGGATCGGATACGCAACAAGAAGTTGGACAATGAAGCGTCTGCTAATCTGGCGCTGCGCTACAAGCCATCGCATGAGTCCTTTCAGGATCAAGTCGTGGAACATTCTGAGCCCAAAGTCGCCACTGCAGACCTGAAATTGGAGACGTGCTTTTTTCCGCCCATTCAGATCGCTGTGGTGCGCGAAGTTGCGCCCAAGTTTGCCAATCGCATGTGCATTACCGACGACAGCGAATCGGGCTACTCGAAGTCCATCGAATTGCAGATTCCCCTGTTAAACTCCTCCTCAAAATATAGCAAAACCGACGGCACCGATTCTAATAAGGATGCTCTGCCAGCAGGAACAAAGCGAAGCAAGTCTCGCAACAACACGCGCGCGGCGACTTCCAATGGTTCCTCGAAGGGAGGCAGCATCCCAAACAACGCAATGCCAACGTTACGCCAACGACAACAGGAACTGCATCGCTATCGCGTACAGACTGAGAAACGCCGTTTGGAATTGCTGGACTTGAAGATAGTGCGTGAACGTGCGGAAGCGTTGCGCCGTGAGATACTCTTCCACAAGGACTTGCAGCTGAAGCACAATCAAATTAAATCGTTCGAGGACACCATAAATTAGCCATAAATCTGTTTCCAAACCCAAATTTCTGGTAATATTTACTACCTATTAATAATTAAGTTATATAACAGCAACGCATAAAATTCGATTTATATACGACTTAATTTTTATAATCTTTTGGAAGTACTCACAATTAAAATAATAAATTCTAGGTGACAAATAAAAGACTATCCGTCATATTTTATTCATTTGCTATATGCTGTGATAAAAATATTTAAGGAAGGATTTATTCAAGTTAGACGCATAATCACACTTGTAAATGAATAGAAAATTTAAAATGGCATATAAAAAAAAGTGTTCAAAGTAATAGATGAGAAAAAAAGAATATGTAGTAATAAGTCGAATATGACAACAGCATCCAATAGCGACAAAAGTTCAAATTCAAAATCACAATAACCGTTACACACTCCAGAGACACGCTCGTTGTGGGTGTGTGTTGACGCTTGTGTGTGACTGTCAACCCAGCTGACATTCTTACATATAAATGGCATAAATGCATTTCAATTGGTTCCCATTCCCAATCCCAGTACAACAGATAGACAATGAATGCTCAGCATGCTGGTAAAAATGTGTCGAGTCTGCGGAAAAAGCAATTCATGCGACAAAACAATGAATCTCTTCGAATCGAAAAATCGGAAGCTTATCCGGCATATTCAAATTTTGACTGGATTGCGGGTACGCAACGGTTCCGAGATGTATTCTCTGATTAAATATTAACTATTTATTTTAAATGCAGCTGCGGGATTCCGAAGATGCACCCGCCTCAATTTGTTTTTGCTGTCAAACGGACTTGAAACTGGCCATGTCATTTCGGAGACTTTGCATAAAAACACAAAAGAAATGGCAGCCTCCCATCGAAATCAATGATAACTCCTCCCTCAGCGAGCAGGATGTGCCAGTACCATTAAGCCCAAAGCCACCAATCCAACAGAGCCACAAGTCTATCGGGATCAGCACGTATAGAGAAAGTGATTCGGACGAGGAGCCAAAGGAAACCGTACAAGTTATGCTCAAGGAATGTCAAACAATCAGCACTGATGTTGCTGAGGAACATGATCACTTGGATCTGGACTATATCATAAGAGCCAACACAGACATCGATACAGATGAGTCAAATGAAACACAAACGAATAATAACAACATAAGCGGACTGCACAAGCCAATAATTGACTCCAGCAAAGATTGCAAGAAACTCGCCAGAGCCCAGCCAGAACGGGCCATATACGTCTGCGAGTTGTGTGGCAAATATGTAAATAGCAAAGTTTCATTCGATCGCCACATGCGAAAGCACACCGGGGAGCGTCCCTTTGCCTGCGAGTAAGAATATAAATATTTATATATATATGGATGTATGCACATAAATTGCATACCTATTTGCAGGAAGTGCTCGTCTCGTTTTCTATCCGCTGCTGAATTGCGCTCACATTGCCTCTCACACACGGGAGAGCGACCGTTTCCGTATCGCTACTGCGATCGCCGCTATGTTAGCTATGCGGGCAGACTGAAGCACGAGAGAACGCATACGAATGAACGACCCTTCGTGTGCGAAGAGTGCGGCAAGGCGTTTACCAACACATATATACTAAAGAATCATATGCTGGTTCATACGGGCGAACGCTTATTTAGGCAAGTAATTTTACATTTATTTTTCAGCATCATTTTCAAATTGTACAATTGTAGATGCGATTTCTGCCAGCGTTCGTTTCAGCGCAAAACTCATCTGCGAACGCATTACCGTTCGTATACGCACAAGCAGAATGTGGGGAGGCTTCAGGATGCACAGAACGCAGCTGCGACAAACGGATAAAATTAAATCATTGTTAAGTTTAAGCTTCAGTTAGCAATACATATGGGGTAATGTGGTGATTTCGCGAATTCTTGTTTATTTTGTGGCCAGTGTTGTACTACTGCATATGGCAACCTGTTGACGCGTCTGTGTGAATGGCAGGTGCATTTGTGGGTGGGAAACAGCTGCTTTGTTTCCAATTGCTCAAATTGATTAAAATAAAGTGCACAACAAAATGTTGCAAAACAGTTGTCGCATTTGTGCAACTGACACAGATGCATCGAAATCAACAAATCTTTTTGAGAGAAGTGCACGCAAACTGTTGCGACAGATAAATCTACTCACCGGCGTTGCTGTAGGTAAATTCAAAGAAAAACCATTGATTAATTGATTGATTATCAATTTTTTGCAGTTGGAAATGAAGTCAGATTTACCCACGCTTATATGCAACAATTGTCAAAATGATCTGAACTGTGCCATGGAATTTCGCAGACGTTGCCTGCGCAATCACAGGAGATGGACCCAACAGTCCCATGAGGCATCCGAGCCGAAGCCAGCTCCCGGGTCTCCATCCACACATCTAAGTTACGTGCGTCGAAGTACAAGAATCCGGATCCATTGTCCTAGCGAGGATGAGGAAGTCGACGAAGCGCCCTTGAGTCCCATGGAAGTTCTTATCAAAGTGGAGCATTCAGGCAATGATGCTGATAGAGACGAGGGTGTCGATCACTTGGACACGGAGACATGTAATATTAATGATGAGACCGCCAACATATCCACTTTGGATGATGATAATTATGTGCCAATGCCAATGAAAAGCAAGCGACGTCGACGCTTAGCTAAATCCACCGGCTTAAAGCAGCCGCGCATCAAGCAAAAGTTGCCGGTTTTCTTTTGCGATCAGTGCGGCAACAACGTAACCGGCAAATCCGCCTTCGATAGACATCTGCGGAAGCACAGCGGTATTCGACCCTTTCAATGCGAGTAGGTTGGCCAAATACCAAATTCCAATTCCACATAAGCAATTCGTGTTCCTTGTATTTAGGCAGTGCCCGGCACGCTTTCTATCTGCCGGCGAGCTGAAGGGCCATCAAGTGAGGCATACCGGCGATCGAAATTTCCCGTGTCGCTACTGCGATCGAAGTTATGTCAACTATAGCGGTCGACTGCGTCACGAACGCACCCACACCAACGAACGCCCCTTTGTATGTACGCATTGTGGCAAGGCCTTCACCAACTCCTACATACTCAAAAATCACAATCTGGTGCATACGGGCGAACGGTTATTTAGGCAAGTGTCTAGACTTGAAAAGGCCTCTTAAATTGGCGACCATTACTTTAATTTATAAAACGCTTCATGCTTAATTCAAAAATATATAAGTATGTATTTATAAGATTTCTGTTCATATTTATTATATTATATTATATTGTTTTTTTTTTTTTTTTTTTTTTTTTTGTGGACATTTTGTCGTATTTCATGATAAAAATTGAATATTTTGTAAACAGGAATTGATTGAAACCATTGATGGAACCAAATTTGAAAACAATATTTGAATCTTTTTAGTCTGATTTTGCCCTGAGCTGTTTAACTTCAATATTAGAATTTATTTACATTGATTTTTTCTTTTTTATTTACGCGACATTTGGTCGTACTTCATGATAAACATTTAATATTTTTTTAGCCATTGAGGGAACATAGTTGGAACATTTTGTAGTCTATTTCAAATCAGCACTTGCAGTTTTTTAATCTAATTTTATTCAGAGCTATTAAGTTCTACCATAGCTGTCAAATAATACAATAATATTTATTTATATGATTATGTTTATTTTCTTATAGATGTGATTTATGCGAGCGCTCGTTCTCACGACCCACTCACCTAAAGACTCACTTTCGCTCCAATACTCATAAACAGAATGTGGAAAAGTCAAGTGCTCTCGAGCAGCATCCGCATCCAACAAAAGCGGAAGAGCTGCTTCCAGTTTTTGAAAGCGACTTGCCACAGCCTAATATTGAAGAACAAGCCATGATCCTCGTCACAGTTGAAGTGCCTTTGGAGTAGTAGCAGTTGCTGTTGTGAATCAGCACATGATATCATAAGTACAAATTGTAAATAAATATAAATAAATAAAATATTTGATTGGATTTTAAAACCTTTTTTTGTCTTATTTCTTTTTTCACCGGGTCATGCAACACAATTTTGACTAACTTGCATTTAAATAGTCATTTAAATTTAAATTTGGGTTTTAAATTTGATTTTTATTTATTTTATTTTCCACTTTTCGAGTTCTGATATTAGTTGAGATTAAATAAATAAATGTGAGCATAAAATTATGTATTCTGCTTAGCATATTTTAGAAGTTAAAGAAAACTCTCATGGCGGGAAATAGTTATAATCAATCAATCAATCAAAAATTATCAATTAACTTTTAATCCCTTGTTTTGACGCTCCATTTTGCGCTTGTGAGCGGTTGACAGACAGTGCGTATTAAGATGCGTTTGCCGTCTAAATAATTTATTGCACAAGTCGCATCTGTAATTGGAGGATATCAGATTGAGCTTGATATAAGCGCAAGGAGAATCTCACCTGAAGGCACGTTCGCCGGAATGGATGAGCATGTGGTTCTTCAGTATGTAGGTGGTGGTGAAGCCTTTCCCACAACTCTGGCAAACATAAGGTCGTTCATTGGTGTGAGTCCGCTCGTGTTTCACCCGAGTGCTGTAGTCCGCGAACCAACGATCACAATAATGGCAGGCAAAGGGACGTTCTCCAGTGTGTTTCCGCATGTGACTTTTCAGCTCGGAGCTAGTGCAGAAACGATCCTGGCAGACGCTAGCATCAAATAGATATATATTAATTTAGATATGTATTATTAGTTGTTTGTAATATGCTCACTCGCATTGGAACTGCTTATCGCCACGATGTCGTCTGCAATGTAGTTCGAAGGACATGCGACCCGATATATGATTGCCACACTCCTCGCAAACGAAAATGCCATTTGTGAGGCTCTTTCGACCACGTTTCTTCTTAGCTGAATTTGGGGCCACAGGAATTTCATTACTTGTAGGCACTCCATCACACTCTACATCTAAATCAGGTTGCATGTAATTTTCAATGGGTGAATTATTACAATCTTCGCTGCAAGTCGCTATTTGCTGTTCAGTGGAATCAGAGGGATTCTCGCTTTTTGCTACATCTTGTGTTGTTGGGTTATCATCGATGATGATGTCGTATTCTAGTAGATTATCATGGTTTCCATGTTCTTCAATAACTATCTGATTTTCATCGTGCTCGGCTTTATTTATGAGCTCTTCCTCTGACTCGTCTATAATTTTGGATTCGGACTTAGCTTCAAAGTTACTCGTGTTGATTTCTCTTACGGCCTCTCTATAATCCTCGGATACTTCCTGAAGTTCGTCCTCAGTTAACGATGACAGGAGCTGCTGCTGGACTGCAATAACTCTATCGCTAAATCTGATTGAATCGCGCAATTCTGTTTGGCAGAAATTACAGATGAGGTCCGGTAAACTTTTAGCATTTTCCAACTATAAAACAGTATTCGTAAAATATAAACAAAATTGTAAACGATTTACTTACAATTAGTCCCGTAAGAACTTGAATGTTCCAAAGCATATTTTTATTATCAAAGATTCTTAAAGATTTCTCGCCGGCTGCGTATCTGCCACAGGCTCTGCACATGTTTTTAAGCATTGTGCAATTTAATGAAACTAATTCAACAAGTATTATTTGAGTATTGTAAATATTTTGGAAAAAAGCATTTTTTGATGCAACAGCTGTTATAGTAGTTTTTGACATTCGCATGTGTGCGGAAATCAATATGCATGTATCTAAATGTGACTAGTGCTGTACAACGCATTTGATATTTTAGAATGGACATAATTTATATTTATTATTATATTACATACATATAACAAATCGGCTTTTATACTCACAAATTAAAGTCAATATTGTTTTTTTTTTTAACAATGAAAAAAAGTTGCAGTACTTACCCCTGGATTAAGTGTTTTTATATTCAAAAATAAAAAAAATATCGGACTGAATTGAATTATTAGAAGGTATATAAAAAACACCAGTAATTATTGCCATTAATAAATTTGACATATTTTCAATGTTATGTTTACCGTTTGAATGTCAATAAAAATCAATACTTTTTGCAATATTTGAAATGTTTCAGTTCCCTAAAATGCTTTTATTAAATTGACTATTTGGATTTAGTAAAATTTAATTTTTAAATCGGTCTTCTTTACATGTATAACATAATATAGCACTAATGACTGAGGAAATCTGCTAGCGCATTATTGAACATTCCAATAGATTGCTTCCAGATTAAATAAGCAAAAACAATTGTATGCAAATAATTTAATATTTAATTCACATGGAAGGAATTTCAGCTCTCAATCTTTATCTCCTGGTTTTGTCGCTCCAGATTGCGCTTATGAGCGCTCGACCGACAATGCGTAACGAGATGCGTTTGTCTAATAAAAGTTTTATTGCACAGCTCGCAGCTGTAATTGAGGGATTCGCGATTAATCGAATGATTAAGAAGTGCAGAGCGAATCTCACCTGAATGCGCGCTCGCCGGAATGGATGAGCATGTGGTTCTTCAGTATATAGGCAGTAGTGAAGGCTTTGCCACAGTTCTGGCAGGCATAGGGTCGCTCATTGGTGTGTGTCCGCTCGTGCTTCACCCGGGTGCTGTAGTCCGTGAAGCAGCGTCCGCAGTACTGGCAGGCAAATGGACGTTCCCCAGTGTGTCTCCGCATGTGACGCTTTAGCTCGGAGCCAGTGCAGAAACGATCCTGGCAGATGCTAACAGCAATTATATATGAATTAAATGAATTCATTGTTAGTTGTGTGTATGCTCACTCGCATTCGTATTGCTTATCGCCCCGATGTCGTCTACAATGGAGCTCAAATGCCATTCGACCAGATATGTGATTGCCACATTCATCACAAACGTATCTGAGATTGGCGATGCGCTTTCGCCCAGGTACCCTTTTGCCTATACTCTGGGCCGTTGCAATCTCGTCGTTTAACACTCTGTCCAACACCTCAAACTCTTCATCTGATCCCTTGTCGGGTAGGATATAACCATCGGCAACAGATTTTTCATAATCTTCGCTGGTAATAGCAAATTGGTGTTCTTCAGATATGTTCTGGGACTGGGATTCCTGCTGGTCAGCCTGTTGACTTATATCATCGTCAATGATGAAATCATACTCCATTAAGTCGTCCTGTTTGCCATGTTCCTCTATGATTATTTCGTTTTCTTCGTGCTGCGCCGTAATGATCAGCTCTTCGTCTGTCCCAGGTAGATTTGTAGTGGATTCGGATTGTGCCTCTGAGTTGTGCTTCGTTTTAGTTACATTTTGGGTATAGTTGCCCGAAGAGTCCCTTACGGCTTCTCTATACTCTTCGGAAATTTGCAGAAGTTGCTCCTCAGTCAACGCTGAAAGAAGTCTCTTCTGAACTGCAATGACTCTTTCGCTGAATCTGATTGCCTCGCGCAGTTCTGTCTGGCAGCAAATACAAATCAGTTTTGGCAAACATTCAGCATTTTCCAACTGCATTACAGAATTGTAAAATCAAAAATTAGTTACATGTTTATCGGTTGAAACAAATTACTCACGACTAAGCCCGTGAGAACTTGAATGCTCCACAGCATATCTTGATTTTCAAAGATTTTCAACGAGTTCTTGTAGGCTGCATATCTGCCGCATACTCTGCACATGTTTTTGAGCATTATAATAATAACAATTCGATAAACAAACAAAAGTTCTGCGTACTACGAAGATATCTTGGTAAACAGCGTCTTTTCTAACTATGGCTGTGATTGTAAGTTTTTGCCATTCATGTGGGTGCGCGAGCACAGTGTTGTAAAACGAATGCGGTTAGTTGGCCGTTAATAAGTAAACATATGTTCCAAATTTATGGGCAACTTTTAAACCTAAAAAAATATGTATTTAAATTAAATTTAATGGTCTTAAATTTTAATTACACAATATTTAATTAATCCAGAATATGCAAGCTCTCCTCATTCATTTCCAATTTGAGCTGATGTGTCGTTTCATCCTGCATTGGCTGCTGCATTTCAAACCTTTCCAAGGCACGCTTGTGTAACCCGGTCCGCAGATGGGTGCTGAGATGACTTAAATGTTTAAAGGACGAGTCGCATATCTCGCATCTAAGAATTATACATAGGCATAACTTTTCATGCAGATTAAATGTTGTTGCTTACCTATATGAGCGTATGCCGGAATGTATCAACATGTGGTTTTTAAGGTTGTGTTTTGTGGCAAACGACTTTCCACACATGTATTCACATGGATAGGGTCGCCCCTTGCTGTGGCTGTGCTCCTGCATCATTTTCAATTTGAGCCGAAGAGACGGGTCGTTCTGCACTTTCTTAGTTTGCAGAGTACGCTTGTGCACCTCGGTACGGACATGTCTCGTAAGATGAGTTTTAAGCGTAAACGACTTATCGCACAGCTCGCATCTCAAAATCATAAAAATACTGTCAAGTAATCTGCATAAGATGTTCTTACTTACCTGTAAGAGCGTAGGCCGGAATGTGTTACCATATGGTTTTGAAGTACGTATTTTGTGGTGAAATTCTTGCTGCAGATTTCGCATGGATAGGGGCGCTCATGGGTGTGGGTGCGTTCGTGGTTGATCCGCGAATCGCAGTCCTTGAAAGAGCGTTTACAGTACTGGCAGGGATAGCGACATTTATCAGGATGTGTTGACATGTGATGCTTCAGCTCAGAGCGACTGCAGAAACAATTTTGGCAAATGTTTACAGGAAATGATTAGACATACATGTATTTATTATTAGTTGTTTTTGTATATTGTATGCTCACTTGCAAACAAACTGTTTATCATCAGGATCGACTTTTAATACTCTGTCCAACACCTCCAACACTTCATCTGATCCCTTATCAGGAAGTATATACCCAACCGATTTTTCATAATCATGGTTGTCAATCGCAAATTGGTATTCATCAAATGTATTCTCTATTGTCTCAGAGGACTCGGATCCTTGGAGTTCAACCTCTTCGTCCACAAATATTTCGTGTTCTTCTTGTTTAATGATTAGCTCTTCAACTGCCGTCGGTTGATTTATATTAGTTGCATTGTGGTTTCTCTTGCCTGAAGAGTCCTTTACGGCTTCCCTATAATCCTCGGATACTTGCTGAAGTTCCTTCTCAGATAAGGCTGACAGAAGCCGCTTCTGGACTGCAATGAGTCTTTCGCTAAATTTGATTGCATCTTGCAATTCTTTTTGGCAGGAATTACATATAAGCTTTGGCAGACATTCTGCATTTTCCAACTGCAAAGTCAAAAATTTGACATGGATGTATCTCTGTAAAACAAATTACTTACAACTAAGGCCGTAAGAGCTTTGATGCTAAAGAGTATATCTGGATTTTCAAATATTTTCAAAGAATCCTCTTGGGCTGCATATGCGCCGCACACTCTGCACATATATTTGACCATTGTTCGCTTGAATTATAATAATAATAAAAAAGAAACAAATGTTAAAAAGTGATTTTTCTTGCTCTATATGCGATTGTTAGTTTTTGCCATTCGCACACATATGAGAACCTATAGTGTTGTAAAATGATTATTTGACTGTTTATAAGTGGATTGTAAATTTTATTTGGATTCGTCTTAAATACAAGATGAGAAAAGCAATTGGACATTGATAAGAGTAATAAATTAAAGGCATTAGTTGAATTAGTTTATTTTATCTAGTGTATAATAGGTATATTTCCATCTTATTTGATAAATTACAAAAATATTTAATTAATCCTGAATGTGCAAGCTCTCCTCATCCATTTCCAATTTGAGCTGAAGGGCCGGATCATGCTGCATTTGCTGCTTCAGTTGATACTTTTCCAAGGTACGCTTGTGCACGCCGGTACGCATATGAGTGCTGAGATGAGTTGGAAGCATAAACGACTTATCGCACAGCTCGCATCTGAAATGATAATATGACGTACAGTAATCTTCATATGCGGTTTCACATTTCCTCTCTTACCTATAAGAGCGTAAGCCGGAATGTGTCAACATATGGTTCTTAAGTATGTAGCCTGTGGTGAACGCCTTGCCACAGGTGCCACACGCATAGGGGCGCTCATTGGTGTGGGTGCGCTCGTGCTTGACCCGCGTCGTGTAGTCGGAAAAGCAGCGTCCGCAATACTGGCAGGCGAATGGTCGCTCACCAGTGTGCTTGCGCATGTGCCGCTTGAGCTCCGATGTGGTACAAAAGCATTTCTCACAGATTCTGTTCGATTACAAATGTAAAATAAGTAAAGACTCCATTTGTAAATAGGAAATCATTGTTAGAGACTTACTCGCACTGGAACTCCTTCTCGCCACGGTGGCGACGGCAATGTAGCTCGAAGGCCATGCGTCCCTTGATGTGGTTGCCGCATTGATCACAGATGTAGACACCGCCTGCTCCTCGGCGTCGCGGATCGTCTGGTTTTATCTTTGGCTTTGGCGGCAGACTGGACTTTTTCACAACATTCTCGAGCTCATATTCATCGTCGAGTACATTGTCCAGGACGGCCACCTCATCATCCGAATCATACAGATACATCTCATTGGGATCAGCCACATTCAATTGATCCGATATGTTGTCAATTTTTACAACATTATCATCGTCGTCTTGCACGAGACATTCGTACTGAGTGTCCTCAACCATTGACACATTGTCATCCTCATGATCAGCCTCGATCAAATCGCTCATATCCGGGGCAATCTCATATTTGACTTTGGTGATTGTGCCACCATCATCACTACTATCCGGTACCAATTTCACAAAATGATTCTCTGAATGCCCCACCTGCTGGTTATACGGCTCAATTTCACACTCGGCGTCGGGTTCGGAGTCAACCTCGGTCTCCTGGTCCTGGTCATCCGCTGGTTCCGTCCTTGCCTCAATGCCCATTATTAGGGCCTTATACTTCTCGGGAATATCCTCCAGTTGCTGTTTGGTTAATCCAGCGAGCAGTTCCCGTTGGGCCGTGATGCATCGATCGCGAAACCGGATAGCACTGGTCAACTCAATATTGCAGCACTCGCACATCAGCTCTGGCAGGCACATATAGCTTTCCAACTGCGATTAATAATAATAAAAATTTAACTTAATTGGCCGAACGAAAAGTTGTTAGCTCGATTTACCTGGAGGCCAGTGAGCGCTTCTATGTTGCTCAGCAGCTTTGTATTGACTTTGTCGAATATTTTGAATGATTTCTTGAAACTGGCGTATTTGCCGCACACTCTGCAAGTGGTTTTTAGCCATTTATTTGGTACTTTTGCCATCGTTTTGACGCAAAACAAATTTTTTATAGAATAATGGTAGAAAAAAGATGCGCGGATGCCTCGCGTTGCCAACTGTTTGTGTTGTGTTGTTTTGCCATTCACACGATTGCTTCAGGCACAGTACGCAGCTGAGAACCATAGCTTGCAAATGAAGCATCATATTGACGGTATATGAAATAGAATTGTTTCAATTGAGAATTCTGCCTGGGCAAACCGTAAAAATAGCTAAAAAAAAGAAAAATGGAAATCCAAGCTAAAATGGAACGCCACCTAAAAAGGGTTGAAAAAATGGTTTGGCTATGAGTTCGTCGTGCCCTAGGAAGAAGCGCCGTTTGAGAAGTGGACCAAAAATGTCCCGATTCCAGTACTGGGACACAATACATCATCCGCTGCATTCCAGATGGTTAGCAAGTGATCTTTGATCAGCTGCATAACGGGGAAGAACCATTCCTAGAAGACGAACAGAATCACAGAATTGATTTAACGAAACATACTCGCTACGCACAATATCATTCAGAGGTTTGGGTCGAAAAAAGTTGCACTAAGTGTGCAGTTTTTGGCATGAGTTGTAAAAGATGCATTTGATCATTGGGCTACTTCTCAATAAAAATAAATAGTAATTAATGCCATTTTAAACAATTAATTCAAGGGGTTTATTTAAGAAATAGCATTTCTTTAGAATTTTTCAGATATTTTTGTATGGATATAAGCACAGTTTTTATATTTGGGCTCCACAAATGAAATAAATGACATTCGTTCGTGCACACCGTTTTTCAAGCTGCGTACTGGCCTTGAGCTGTTACCAGTATGCTAAGTGCTCTGTTAACTTCGCACTTAACAGTTGTAGGGCACGTCATGGCGACTTTGGAATGGTAGGTTTTTAACGAAAATAAACAAATATTTGCATATACTAAATGCATGTAAATATGCAGGGCTTGCGCACCACGTTGCTATGAAGTGACTAAAAACCATTTGCAGCGCCATGCCACGCAGGAACATCCGCTGAAGCAGCTGGCCGTCAGCGTCATGGTAATAAAAAAAAGTGCAAAACGCCGCCCATCCATAAAACGAAATATTTATTATATGTGTTTGTAATTTGTTGTCAGGCCGCAGACAACAACCCGCTGAGCTTGGCATTGGCACTCGAAGGCACCGATCCGCTGTCGAAGTTTGCGCGCCAAGAGCAGGAGTTGAACGATCCGCTAACGCAAATGGCCAGCGAATTTGTGAGTAATCCAATAACTGAGTCTAATTCAATAAATTATGTATGACTTTACTGATCGCAGTCGCTGAGTTCGAAGAGGGGCATCCCAAGCAAGTCGGAGGATAACACGCTGAACTGGAGCACTCGGCGATTGGGCATCCTGAATCGATTCACCACCAATGAGAAGCTTTCGCTTTCCACCAGTTTCCTATGCACCAGTAGCACGGAAGGTGGCGGCGAAAACTGTGAGACAAATGCCACAAACTACAAACTCAATTAAAAAATAATAATTAATATCAATTGCGTTGCAGTCAAGGCTCAGACGGTGGTGGCTGACAAGGTCAAGTATCGGCTGGAGCAGTTGGATAATTTCGATGATGGCAGCATGCGTCACATGATGGATCTGACGCAGCAGGAGTACATCCAGCGATTCGATCAGCTGAAACAGGAGCTCATCCAATCCTGGCACAATGATCAGCGCGTCAAGGCCCTCAAGATTGCGATACAGTGCGCCAAGATGCTGTCCGACACGAGTGTGCTGCATTTCTATCCGAGTCAGTATGTGCTCATCACCGACATTCTTGACGTCTTCGGCAAACTGGTCTACGAACGTTTGCGTGTGAAGGCGGCAGGTGCGCCGGGCGCCTCGGCTGTGGTCCTGCAGCGGGAGCAGGATGCGGCACGTGACACCTGTCAGAATTGGTTCTATAAAATCGCGTCAATACGTGAGCTGTTGCCTCGTCTCTATCTGGAAATGGCCATTTTCAAGTGCTACGAATTTCTGACTGCAGCCCAGAAGGAAATTAAGGAATTATTGTCACGCCTGACGGGTCAGCTGCGTGGCATTGCGGATCCGCTGGTGTCTATCTATGCGCGCTGCTATCTGGTGCGTGTCGGTGTCCCGGTTACGACCAGCCGGACGTATATACGCGACAACTTTACGGATTTGTTCACGATATATCCGCAGGTTCGTTGAGGCGGCCACAATTCGATTTCAATTGACTATTCATTTTTATTGCAGATCTTCCGTTTGGTTGCCCGCTACAATTTGCATCCGGAGATAATCACGGCCAGCGCTTATTTACAGCTGTATGCACCGGCCCTCGATTTCATGCTGCAGTGCCTGCTGCACCAAAGCGATCTCTATGCCCAAGAAATGCTTTCCGAGTGCAAGCAGCTGAAAAACAAGTAAGCCAACGATTGGATTTACTAATTAGCATCAATGTTTAACAACATTTATTTTTGTAGCGGCGCCGTGCTTCTGTCCATACTCAACTCGTCGAAGGGTGATTTTGTGGCCACACATGCGCAGGAGTTTTTGGAGCTAATCAATCAATGTGATACGCCTGGTATTTCCAAATCCCAACTACTTCGACCGCTTGGCGGCTGTGTCAGCAACTGTGCCCCGTTGCAGGAGCAGCGAGTGCCATTCTTAAATGCCGCCTTCCAAACAATAAACACGCTAACGGATCCCAACGAATACATTAACTGCGTGGAAACCTGGGCGCCCTTTGTGGCACAATATTTTACGGTTAATACAAACATAAATTTGGTAAACAACGATCCAACGATCTCTAATCTCTCTAATTTTGCAGATACACGAAGTGAATCGTCTGCTGGGTGAATTGAATTCGCGCATGTGCCTGGGCAAGGCCTATGAAAAGCACTACGGTCAGTTACAAAGCATAATTACGAGAATAATGCAGAATTATCGAAGCATTGAGTTGCTGCTCATACAACCGAACTTTCTGCCCTACCTGGATCTGTTCCACAAAGAATCGGTGCGTGTTGAGGTGTGTAAGTCGATATTGAACTATTACCGACAGAACAGCGAGGAACGCACCTGCGATGCTGTGGTGACCAATGCACTCATGTTTCTGGGCAAGATACTCAATGACTCGGTCAAGTGAGTGTCCGGCATATATATTTATATATATATATATATATATATTCATTACTTATTTGCTTGTAGTGCGCTCAGTGTGGAGGATGAACGTCGACAGATATCGCAGCTGATTAACGGTTTCATAAATAAGGTGCACTTTGGCAGGGATCTGGAGAAGCAGCTCAGCTTCTATGTGGAGGCACGCGGCACCTTCAGCAACTTGGATGCGGTCTATGTGACCCTCGTGCATGCCGCCTGCAAGCTAACCATGCGCTCTGATTATCGCCAAGCCACCAAATCTTTGGGCTTCGTCAAGGCTTGCATTGCGTACTGTTTCATAACCATTCCCAGCATTAGCTCTGTGCAGCAGAAAATGGATTTATATCTGCTGTGTGGTCAGCTGGCGCTACGGCATCTATGCCTTGGCCAGGGTGAGCTTCATTTATAATATAGATCATCGATTAATAATGACTAACTGAATTGTACTTTCAATTGAATTAGCGGATGCCTGCTTTGAGGCTGCACTGCAGCTGGTTAACGAATTGCCCGCCGCCAGCGTTGACTTCGAGGGCAAGCCGCGTTGCCTGGAGCGCTACTTGGTTGCATATCTGTGCAATATGCTGGCCACATTAATCATTGTGCCCGACAGTCCAGAACAGGACGTCTTATATTTTCTACGCCTGCTGCTCGAAATCGTGGGCCGGCGTTCGTTTAAGTCGAATAGTACGGCACCAACTATTATCTATCTACATGCCTTGGACATGCTGTATGTGCAAAGCCTGGAGCAGTTTCCCTATCACGTCGACGGTGGTAAATATCACAATTATAAATATTAAAATTATTGGCCACAATTACAATTATTTCTTCTTTAGTGATTTCAAATGATTCACTGTATGGTCATGATGCCAAGTTTCTGGCGGAGGTGAATCGATTGTGCGGTCAGGTTGTGGATTCCATTCTGCTGCAGCTGAAGTCACTGGGTGCAGCCCAGCAGCAGCGCGCACAAGCTCAACTCGCCATGGAGCTCTTTTTGCGCATTGTGCGCTATGCCGATCTCGAGATGGAGCCGCTCTGTCAGCTGGCTGTGAAGTTGTGGCTGCTGGCCAACAAGGCACAGGCGCAGCTAGATACCGAGACTATTGTGCGTATTGTGCATTCCAATCCATATCCATAGCAGATATCATAACAATCTTCGTTCTTTTGCAGCCACAAACCTTGTGCAGCGTGGAGCATTTTTACAAATTAATCAAGGATTCGTCGCCGACCCGTGCCCAAACTATTGCCAAGCTCCTGTTGCGCATGCGCGACAGTTGAAGAGCAGAATGAACAACTTCAGATTTAACTGGCTGAATTAAGACTTAAATATTTATATTGCGAATTGCTTTTGACTGAGTTATGACCTTTAAAAAATGTAATGTCATCCAAGTTGTGAACTGTTTCCATTGTAGACTTTGTTATTGTATATGATAGCAAACGCAATTAAGTTTTTTTTTAAATGTGTTTATTCAAGTTTTGGTTGATTGCTTGGGGCCCATTTTGTACACAGTCCCTAAGTAATTCAAGCTGTGCGTCTAAATGTGAATTCGAAACAGTTTTCGAACTGCCCGCAAAAGTTATTGGCTTATTTGCTGCACAAATTCACTTTCACATCGTAGTACTACATTTAATATGTATTAAGGTGTAAAAATATAAATTACATTCTTTGCATTTTCGGTATTTTTTTGTTTTGTTTTTTCTTTTTTGTGTTTTTTTTTTTTGGTAGTAGTTTAAAACATCTGAGGCAATTTGTCGTTTTTCATTTCAAAAATGGCTATGAATTATGGCTGACAAACTGCGAAAAATAATAAAAATCAAAATCAACAACTTAAATGAAAGCTAAACGAATACCAAGTAAATAATAATATATACGTATGCATATAAAACTACGTATTAATGGGTATATGTGTATATTTATATCTGATCTGGTGAATACGTATTTTTTAGTGGATGAGAGTGTGTCGGCAGCCTAAAAAGTTGTCTCCTTGAACTCCTTGGACTGCAGCACTGGCGCCACGTTGCCATTGCCACCACCACCGCCGCCGCCACCACCACCACCACCGACAGTACCAATACCAGCTGCATCGACATCAGCATCCGGCGCTGCACCACCAACGGTGTAGGCCAATACGGTGGCATGATCCAGTTTGCCCGGCAGTGCGCCAAAGCCACTGCTGTCCACGATGCGTTTGCGTGCCGCTCGATGTTGCATGCGATTCAGCTGCACTTCGCGCTTCACTCCATCCGGCCCCGTGGACAATTTGTAGAAGAGCTCTCGCTGCTCCAGGGTCTTGCGACGTGCCGAGGTGATCATTCGCACAAAGTCAATCAACAAATGGCACAGACGCCGCGCCGAGGCGCACGGTGAGAAAGTTCCATTGATGCCATAGCTGAGTAGATCCTCCAGACGATAGAGGGTAAGCGCATGTCTCTGCGGCCCGGTGACCAGTGGCAGGCCTAACGCCGACTTTGGTATGCGCTGAATGGGCATAGCCGCGGGGGCAGCAGCAGCCGGTACACCGTGTCGTGCATCGATTAGGGTCTGGGAGCGCATATACTTGGGCCGACTGGGCACATTGCTGGGCGGGCTGCTGCCCGGCTTGGGTTGGCGTGTTCGACTGGGCGGCGTGGCCGATGACGGATGCAGGCGGGCATAGATCGCTGAGGCGCTCTTATTTTGGCGCTTGGGCGCCAGCTGCTGCAGCTTCACATCGGGTGTCCAAGCCTCGGCGAATTTGCCGACGACCGGATCGAAATTGTCGCTGATGCCGTCCGAGGTGAGAAACACAATGTCGCCACGCTCGATGCAGCTCATGGAGAAGGTGAGATTGCTTAGCTCCGGTTTGTTGCCATCCGCTGGTCCCAGAGCACCCAATGCATCGCGCATGTCCCGCATAGAACTTATGTCGTGGGAGGCCTGCGTCAATTCGCGGACACCATGCTTCTTGGAATACACATATCCGAGAGAATCGCCCACATTGCAGGCACACACCACATACTTGCCGGGCGCACCGTCCAGCGGCAACACCACAGCAATTGTCAGCGTGGACAGGGCACCGCCCACCTCCAGAATGCAGCCGTGTCCCTCCCAAAGGCTGCGCAACAGGCTCACAAACAGCTCCTGTGTTGTGGTCGCCCGGCACTCGTGCGCCTGTCCAAACACAGCCCGATCCAGGTAGTCTAGACAGCCATGCACAGCGGATCGAGCTGCTAAGCGAGCGCCATCGCCTTTGGAAGTAAACAAAAGAGTTATTATCTAAATAAGGCTGACATTCTATTAAGATACATAGTTAATTGATGTGATTTAAAAGTGATGAAACCATATTGACTGTTACAAAACAGTTTAAATAAGACTAAAATTATTAAAATAAGACTGGCAAACTATCAAAAGTTAATTAATATGATTAAGAGTGTATTTAAAATATATTTATTTATTGTTGAATTTATGATTTCTATATGGCAATCATAAATTCAACAATAACACAATTACTATAATTATCTTCTAATTAAGGGACACGGTATTGTTTAATAAGTCTGTCATTATATGAAGAGTCAAATGATAATATTTAAAATGACTTAAATTGATGAAACCCGTATTGAAATCATAAATTCAACAATAATGCAATTATCTTCTAATTAAGTGACAAGAAGTAGTTCTCTGACTGTAAGCAGGGGTTAATTAAAGAGAAGCAGTAGACAAAGTCAAAGAAATGAAATAATAAAGATGCAAGTGATTCGTAATTGTAATTTGCTTGCAGTCACATACAGTCGAACCTCCATAGAGTGAATTTCTACACAATGAAATTCTCGTTATTATGAATTAATGTAAAGTGCTTAGCCAAACGATATAATTTTTCCCTACGATACTACATCATTCTCTAGCTACTGGCAGAGTTGGCTGCTGACTATACCCGGTTTAGTTAGGTGACTTCTTAGTCTACAGTGTCTTGTCATTTCGGCTATGCTGGCTCCACTCACCCCAGTTGACGCCATCGGCCATGGCCATGGCAGCGGCATCGCCACGCACCACACAGCCATAGCAATCGGCAATGGGATTGCCCATCGGCTCCTTGATCAGCATGTTGTTCTCGTAAAGCGACACTGAGATGCCATAGGCGACATCGCAATCCATTTGCCAGTTTCGAACGCCGGCCACCGGCGTTGACAGGGGCATGGGAAGGGCAGGAGTGCCACTCTGATTGCTGACCGCCTCGCGTAGCAGACGCTCCCGTTCCGAATTACCGTTTCCAGCTGTCGTCGTTGAGGTCGCAGTCTTGGCATTCATAAGATTCTTATTGTTCTGGTCCTGGGCAACGCTATTGTTGCTGACCATGCTGACTACTATGGTGGTGGCCTTGCCTCCATTCTCAGTCGCTGTCGCCGACGACACTGCTGCAATGCTGCTCTTTGAGTTTTTCCTGGATCGCATGCCAGCGGCTGTGGTGCCCGTTCCACCTGTTCCCGATCCACCTGTTGTGCCCTGATCACCATTACTCTGTCGCCTGGACGCCGTGGGACGGGCAAACTTGTTGCTCAGGCGCGTCGCTTGTGCTGAGGCTGTGGCTGGTGGTGTACTCTTGCGAACACCGTAGCTATCCTCGTTCTCCTGTTGGGTGTCGATGAAGTCAATGTCATCCGCATAGCTGGCGCTTAAATGCAGCTTGGAGCGTTTGATGCCCGTCAGGCCCTCGTCGGGACCGGTGCAGGCGGCAGTGATGGTATCCGGGCCACTGGCATAGGGGCCCAGCTTGAGGACGGGCATATCTGTGGGATTCTGGCCATTGTAGATCTCCGGTCCGCCAGGCATAAAAACACGCTGCATGCGTCTAAAAAAATATATATATAAATTAAGTTTGCGTGCTTCATTTGCAGTGAGGTCAGAGTTTTGTTACCCCTCGAGATATTTGGTTATAAAGCTGGCATCGTCCTCCTCAGCGTTGCCGTTGACCCGCCGCCGTCCTCCATCCCGTGGCTCCGCTACGAAACTCAATTGTCGAAAGTATGTGGTGACCTTTTGCCGCAGAGATGGCATCTTGATGATGCTGATGCTGCTGCTGATACTGCTTCTGCTGCTACTGCTGCTGCCTCTGAGTAGTCCAATTAAGGCTGTGTCTTAATTGCAAGTGCTTTAGTCTACTGGGGGTTTATCGCCTCCAGTTGGAGAGTACATTCACCTCATTGGTGGCAATTGTTGTGGGAGTCAGTGCCTGTAAACGGAGCAAAGAGTTTCATATTTAATTATCAATAAATTATGCAATTAAATGAGGCGTCGCCTCGTCTCCAGACCGGCAGGATGTGCACATTCATGCCGCGGGGCATGCAACAGACAACAGAGCCAGAAAGGATTGTCAGTTCCCTTCCGTCTTCAAACACCAGCAGATGTCCACACTAAGAAAAAAATTTAGAAATTAGCCATACTTCTGGCGCCAAGGGTTCCTGCCCTTAGGATTTGGTTATGGTTTCCTGAAAACCAAGGTTTTCACATCTTAATTTCAGTATTTTTCTAAACATTAGAAAAAAAAATTCTCCTCTTCGTTCAAGAATTCTTATTCTAGCTTTTTTGCTATTTATATTATTATTATATATTTGATATAACAATCGAGGGAGCAACTTTCATTGCTATTTTCTAAATTTCAGAAAGAACTTATCTGAAGAACGATTTTTATTTTATTGCGATTTTCTAAATTGTAATGGCATTTTTTTTCTGAGTGCAAAATTGTGAATAGGCAACTGACTTGAATGGGCTTTCAACTTGCGTTCATTTCGGATGCACACTGAGCGAAAAGGGGAACGGGAAGAGCAAGAAGTAGATGGCGAAAAAGATGAAGCCGACCCGTTGTGGCAACGAGTTTGAAATGACGCAGCTTCTGAGGCATTCGTATGATTAATGAACTGTCAGTGGCTGTTGCTCCTCTCCTTTTTCTTTCTTTTTTTTTGGTTTGCTGCGCAAATTGCAGTTATAAATGTTATTAAACCCTTTAGGTGGGCATCATCATTTTGTCATTAAATGTGCAACTTATTGAAAAAGAAGACATTGCCGTAGAGTATAAAGCTATGTTGATTTAGTCACATTAGATCAGAGTGCAATATAACAGTTACCAGCGACAAGAAGGCTATAAATAGAGTTTATTTTATTTTATTGTTATTGAACTTTATCTACTTCAAATTAACATTTCATAAATAAATGGTTATTGTTCATTTTTCTCTATCTCAATGTGAAAATATTTAATATTTGCATACAATTTGCTTTTATAAAATGCACTGCCTGAATAAAAAAATGAGTAGACAATTTTAAGCTTAAGTTTCGTATGATTATCTGACAATATATGAATATATAATATATAACAGGTTAGCAAATATCAACCGAGACTACTGGAGTAGAATGAACATTTCGAAACCAGCTTTTAACTTTAATGAAAGTCTTTTTACAGTTGATCAATAATATTTATTCTAAATATAGCAACTGTCGGAAGTCAATCTTTATCGATATTATAGAGTTATAGATCAAATGCAATAAAATTAATCTGCGTACGGTATATGTTATATTCCAAATGGCTAATAGCCAACTCGACTCATCTTTTGATGTTGATCAAGAATATTTATATTTGATGGGGAAGGAGGTGCTTGCTTCTGACTTAACATCAATATACTGCTTTTCCAATTTATAAAAGTTAAGTTAAGTTAAGTTTAAGTTTTATTAAATGTAGATGAAAATTAAAAGTAGAAAAATTATATGGACGAAAGTTTAAGTTTTGTACGAATGTTTTCCAACCACCTTTGAATATATAAACATATCTCATGGTTGCAACAAGTATCTTTGATAAAAATTAAGCAATTACAAGTTGTACTACAACCGAACCAGATTGATTTTTCTGAAACTTTCATTTAAGTCCAGGGAATAAGTACAAATACAAGTTTTGCAAGTATTATATAAAAAGTGCACAAGTTTAATATATAAAGTGAAAGTGATCCTATAAGAAAAATGCTTGATGTACGAATTGATACGGATTCGGGTTGTATATCTTGAATATGACGTCAAAATGCTAAATTATATATACATACAATTGAGTTGTGTAAAACATGTCTTAGAAAATCACATTGAAATATTTGTATATAACAAGTTATATTCAACTTATGGTTAGAAGGGAATTCAATCTTTCGCAATTCCAAAGTTAACTTCGATTGAAAAATTATATCACATCTGTATATTAAATTGGATTGAAAAGATAACAAACATTTAAATCGTGAATGAAAACTTGTTGCACACTACAATGTTGGCTTGTGATTCTCTCGCTGCAGCGCAGTTGTGTTTTTATGGCTACGAATCGTTTTCCTGCCCCATAAGCTCTACAGATTAACAAACTCGGACAGTTCTCTGATGAGTGCTTATCTTGAAGTCTTCTACTTGGCATTCAGTTGCATTGCGCAATCAACTGGCGCTCATGGGAATAACAATAGCATTTAATAGCAACAGCAGCAAGCAGATTTGCTAAGTCTAACTACTGAAATTGGACTCTAATCTTGAATAAGTATTAATGGAAGCCGACTGCAAAGATGTTTCTACTTAAGCGATGCGCACAAACCAATTTATATAAGCGATCAACTGAACAAAAGTAAACAAACTGATCCAAACAACAACAATAATAATTGATGAGAGCTTTTCATGACAAGAGCAATTGTTTATTGTTGTTGTTTTTAACGAGCTGCCATTTTAATTTATGACACTTGACTGAACACTTCAATTGACAAATGAATAATTTATATACAATTGGGGCTATTTCATATCACAAATTGCGCGGGTGCTCATTTCTCCGAGATTCTTTAGACTGCCTACAAAATTTAATATAGAATATAAGTTCTCGTATATCATAGGTAAATCAAGTTTATTTCACATTTGATTAACTATCCATGGCAGAAATTGATTAGGATTAAGATTAAAAAGCTATGACAGATATTTTTTAACAGATTCACTGTTTCCACTTATAATCGTGTTGGTTAATTAATTGTTATAGAAGAACTGTAAGATTGTTATTAAGATCGGTTAAGTAACGCAAAATGTGTTTTCCTATTGAACACTTAATTAACTATGTTATTAACAGCCGTTTCCATCTGCTGATGATCCTAACGTGTTTTTTGCTTGCAGCCTTGATGTTTACTCGCCATGCTCAACAAACAGACACTCTTACCTTGAAAATAAGGTAATTTAAATCATAAATGTGACGTGAGTTGTGCCCTTAAGCGATCTCTTTCCATTTGAGTGGCCAATCAAAGCTGGGCAAAGAGACCCATTCAACTGTGGCTTACAACGGACAACATTGCGGTTACTTAATACTCTGAAACCATTATTCGACACGTGTCACAGCTCAACAATTGGTCGGTCAAATATGAAATGCATGAACAAGTTACATACATAAATGTATATATACACTTAGAAAATAAATCGCTATAACGTTATTCTTGTTTTTAGAAATAATTTCAAAATATAAGAAAATATTTTTCTTAAAATTCGAAACGTTTGCCGGAAATTTACCATTCCAAAATCAAGATGAACTTTTATAATTTTTATAAATATTTTCTATTATTGAGAAGTGGACATCTAACAGTTAGAAGTGCCCTGATTATTGGAAAAATTCGTCTCTGAAATTCAGAAAATAGTAACGAAATTTGATAGAAAATTAACTATCTGAATAATAAGGCGAAGAACCCTTGGCGCTAAAAGTATGGCGAATTTAAAAAAAACCCGGGGCGACTTTTTTCCGAGTGTATGTACACGTTCTTTCATAAGGTTGAGAGCAAACATGTTATAAACCCACAATGATCATCAGCAGCTCAGAATGGGAAGCTTTTATGTGTCAAGTGACGAAGATGATGATTCCGCATCTGATTCTGATTGACGTGGAGAGAGATAGAGTGGGGGCACCACCTGGTGTTGCCTTCTCTGCCCCACTTGAACAAAGCCAAATGGAGCAAAGCAATTGCAAATGCAAAAATATATTGTAATTTGCTTGGCAGCGGATGCTGTGGGTATTGTGGTATTGAGGTATTGACGTGGGTGCGGTCATTCGTTGTGGCTGGTAATCTCTTTGAGTGCACATTTAATCGCAGATTCTTGTTGCTGGCTAAATTGAATTGTTTGCAGTGCAATGCATTTCAATCAGCCAGATTGATTGCGGCTTCGAAATGGAGATGTAAACGCTGCCAATGCGCTTGGATGCGCTTCAACGCATCGCTTGCAGCAGATTCAAAAAGGGGGGAAAAGAAACACATGCTTCAAATATAGACTGTATATGGGTTAATTGGACTTTAACAGCAACAAATGGCATGCAAAAAATATTGCAAAAAAATATCATTTCCTCCCCGTCGCCCATTCATTACTTGAGATTGCTTTTGTGGTCTGAGAGCAGACCTGAGAATTGAATTGAATTAATCGACCAGCTGCTGCTATTTTGCCATGATTGATGCGCGATCTGTCGCGAAGTTCAAGTCAATTGCCGTCAGTCGTGCAAGGTGGCTCTGACATTGAGTAAATGCTATTATTGATAGTAGTTTAAGTTGCGACTCGAGTTCAAGATCAATGCGTGCCACATATTGTTTAATTATTTGCTGAAAGATCATTTTGGTAAACTGTTTGGTTAATTGTTTAATGTATCATCAGTTACTGATATAATTAATTAATTAATTCCAACTATTTTGTTGGCCAGATTGAGTTTCCATGCACCAAATTTTGGACTATTTGGCTTCTAAAAAATGATATTAGTCGCCAATAAATATCAGAGAAAACAAACACAAACTATTATCTTAGGCACACCAAATCTTACATACTCTTGTAGACCGAATCTGCTGACCTACAATTTTAAGTCACTAGCTCCGAATGTTATTTTTTTGTTTTGTAACTGGCAATTACACAATTGTGTAATTATGTTATATCAGAAAGGGTGACTTGTAAGTATACGCCTATCTCGATTTTACAACTTAACACTTATCTTTTCACCGATAGTTCATATCATAAAAAACTACTGAAGCAGAACCTAAGATCAAGTTAGCTTTAAGCTGAGGGAAATCTGTTCATATATACAAAGTAGTCGGATAGACAGACATATATATCGTCGTAGAATACATTTACTTTATATATATATATGTTACTTATTTATTACAATAAATTAGGATTTCTGAAAATTACATAAGAAAAATAATTTTTTTTATTTAGATATTATTTCTTATATATTAAAACTTTCAACTTTAATTTTTTTATGAGTGCATATTTGTGAATAAAACCGTTGTTGAAATTTTGTTATCTATAAAAATGAAATAAAAACTATTGATCTCATTCACTGCAACCTAGCACTATGTTGTAAATCAACGATAGCGTGGCATTTTCGACGCGCCCTCAAAACCTCAAAAATGGAAAACGTATTCAAGAGCGATCGCTGACACGCTCCATGTAACACTCAAAACCTTCCCCAAAGCACTCGCTCGCCTCAGCACACACATTGGACAGTTCTCGGAAGTAGCACATAAAATATTGCCAGGGCGTGTGCCACAATCAATCGACACTTTCGTGGCATATATACAAAAGATCAACATTTTCAACACACTGGGCTAATCAGGCGTGAAAATGGGAAAATCGTGGCCAACGATTGCACAAGAAGCAAAGTGTTGAAATCAATGTACATAACTATTAATCAATGTGGAATTCTATATTAAAAATTCCAAAACAGCTGGTATTTAAATGAAATTTATGCGATCATTTTGGTAACAAAAATAAATAAACAAAAACGAATATACGAAATTCGTTTTCAGAACTCTGTTCTCCCCGGTGATCCACGTGCTATAAATATGGAGTGTATTTATAGCAGCATATGGCACAATTTGAAGATAATTTCGAGCCACAATTTTTCATATGTGTCTGTCTTTGAATTGTTTTGGTTAATTTGGAAACACGCTTGAAAGATTTATTTGGTTTGTGTTGTTTTTTGTTTAGCGCATTTCCGCCGGTGAGTGTATAAATAATTAATTGAACGAGCGCATTGAAAGATTGTTTGCATTTTAACTAATTAGCAACGAGGTCACAGATAAGCGACTAATAAGTAAACTGCAACTAACTAGTTGCATCCACAAGGGGCACAATCATCTAGACAGGCATGAATCATTTATAAAGTGATGACACCACGGCTTGTGGCACAGGTTCTTTTATGCTTCTGTTGCATTTACAAAAGGTGTTGATTTAATGCCGCAGCGCAGCAAGAAACGTGCTAAGCAAAAGTAAACAAAACCAGCTTACATAGAAAAAAACGGTAGAGTGGTTTAAGCCAGAGGGTTGGTGGGGGGGGGGTTGCTAACCAAATACGGCCAAGAGAGACACACACTTACACATACAAGCACGCATGACAGTTAACAGCTGGCGGCTTCCAGCATTTCTCCAAGCTGAGTGTCACGACAGATATATGACGACAAGACAACCTGCTGAAAGATTATAATATTGTGTATGTGCGAGTGTGTGTGTGCATGCGTGTGTGTGGCATCCCAAGGTGGTTGCTGCATTCATTTGGGGGCCTTGCCATAAGTCAAGTGCAGCTCACAGCGAATTGCTTGCAAATTGTGTTGCTAGACAAAAGATATAAACACAAACATAAAAAATCCAGCGACTTGAAAGTGAAATTTTGTTGTCTCTCTTTTTGCAGCGAAAGCTGAAGGCCAAAACTTCTGCAAGAATTGCAGCTTATTTGTCGCATTTATGTACTACATGTGTAAAACTGATAGTTGGGGGCAGCGTTAATAAACACACTTTTATACCCTGAACTTTTGTCTATCGAGAGACTTTAAATTCCGAAGAAAAAGTTCTCACATATCTACTTTACTTCATTTTATCAATAGCTCATACTTTTCTCCTATATCGATACAAATCGATGTTGCAGAGTGTATTTTCAATCCAATCTCTCATAATTTTCTTTTAATATTTCTAAAATTCAACTAAACCCAAGTATTTTTCTCATAAGTGCTATTTATATGTTCATACCTTAATTATAATTTGTACAAATTTTCATATTTACCAAATTACTCTGTTGCAAGCGAATATATTTTTAAGGATTTCCGTTTGAATATTTAAGACTTATGATAGGCAAAGACGTCAAGCTCAGGATATCTCCAAGTCGATCTCTCTTAACTAGAGCATTTTTACTTGTGCGATAATTTCGTTTGTCTTATAGATAAGCGTCACAATTTGTAAGAATTACCATAATTTGCAATTGTTTATCTTTAAAATGTTGTCCAAATATTGATTTTAGAACATAGTGCTACATATCTGTCCATGTGCTTACTTATTATTTAAAATAAAAACGTTGAACAAGAAAGAACTGTCTTACCCACACCCAAGATCAGAAAACCTAGCATACTGGAATCTATTTGCTTATATTTAAATAGGCTAATCTCTTACGAATTCTCATATATATATTGTATCAGAAAGGTGATTAGGAAACTAAAACATGCTATAATAGCCTTATATTGCTTACAGAGGTCAGTCCACAGACTCAAATGAGCAAAGATAACTAAAAAGACTGTTTTACGAAAGACCACTGACAATAAATTGATTAGCTATTAGTTAATTAGTTAATATTTTTTACCTACCACATAGATTATATTATATGCAATAAATTTGTTTAGTAACATATAAATTTATTAACTGTTGGCTGACTCACTGAAGTAGAAATAATACTGTTATGATTATTTTTTTCATTTATTATAAATTTTGCTTTTGACATAATAATAATTTTAAAATTGTATTTGCAGCATGGTCGCCATTTAATCAATATATAAATAGCAGCCAACGATTTTGTTTTGCATAGACTACGAATATATATATGAGCTTGGCTTGGCTTTCTTTTCCAATTTCTGGTATACAAAATAAACATATTTACACATATTTCATTATTGACATTTATTAACCCTTCGGTACACATGCTTATGGCATAAAATGTGAAGCATTCAGGTTATATTTAAATGTGTAATCAGGTGTAAAGTCGCTTAAAATTTACAAGACTTCAGCCGTATAAATAAGGGTCGGACATGCCGGACAGACTATTTTTGTTGACTCTGTTGATTCTATTTGTGAAGTCCAGTTAAGAGCGAAAAGCGCTCTGGGCTCCCCATTAGAATCGGATAATTAAAATTGCATGTGATAAACAACATACCAACACACACAAGCACAAGCAAAGGTGAAGGAACTCACTCAGAGTGGGCAACGTTTTGGGAGCAGGGGAGGCCCATTTCTCTTGTTCCCGCTTGGACCCCCTTTCGGGGCAGTGCCTGTCTCCGGGAGTTGCTTAAATTGCCAGCTAATTGGCTTTTGAGTGTTTGGTGTTTGTTGCGTGCTGCGTTCATTTCCTGTTACAGCTGCACGCAGAAAACAATTTGCATTAATGGCACAGGAGGCACCTCTCCCCCCTCACCTAACAGCCCCCCAGCGCACAACCCCATTAATTCAGCACTTGCCACATGAACTGCAATCGCAGTGTATGTGTCGAAAGTCGAAACTGAAAGTGCGACACAAATCCATATAACAAAAGTCGCCTCCCATTTTCTAAATGTTTTCAGGCTTGCTTCTGGGGTTGTTGGGGGCAGGTGGTTGGGGTGCCTCGTTGGGGGAAAATGCGATGGGATCTTTGTGTGTCAAAAGTGCACTTTCACATGCAATGGGCGCCACGAAGATGTCGATGCTTGTAGCTGGCATTGCTTTTGTTTTATCGCTTGCAATAATGACGCACACATTATTTTTTCAATTTTTTGTTGTTATTCAACTAAGAGTGCACCACCCCTTGTTGGCCGTAGTGTGTGTATTCTCTTATCGCCCATTTCCGCTTGCATGTTACTTGTAATGTGCTTTTGGGGTTGCGCCTCTTGGCCCCGTTTCTTTAAATGTGCGCTCTAATAACTTGTACGAACTTCTTAAGTACAGTAAATACTTAACAAATACTAGAAATGGTGTAAGGCGGCATGTGGCATTATTTAGCTGCAATTGATTTTTTTCGGGTTAGTCGAGAGCGTAAATTTCATTTATATTTTCTAAATTTCATAAATGATTTTTTCTAGCGATAAGGCTTTGTTTTTCTACATTTTAGAAATATTAAAAAATATATTTCTGAAAAATAGTGAATCAGAAAATCAATTAAAATTTTTAGAATTCGTTTTTCTTTTCTGGGAGTAGTTTTAGTTTTAATATTCAGTCAGAACTGTATTTCAAGAGTGAAAATGAAAAAGTCTAAATGATTCAGCTCTTTTTTCAATCAGAATAGATAAAAAACTCGTTAGGGTGTTTCATTTTGGTGCTGAATAAAAGAGGCGTCGAAACTTTACATTATCATATTTTAATGGATTCGAGAATTTAATAACAAAAAAATTTATTATATATAAAAAAAATACAATTTATAAATTGAATTTCAATACAATAATAAATGGAATATGAAGTAATGTTTTAATCTTTCACTGATGAGATAGTGACTATAATCTCTGAGCGATCAGAGTTCTCTGCAGCAGAACTAGGAAAGGATAATGAGTCTAGACGCATTTACAGGAGCATATTGATACCTAGATAAGGTCCTAGGTAGGATAAGCATAATTGTAGATAGGATGAGATAATTTAAGACTTTCAATAAACCTGCCGAAGCATTTTGGCAGCTCGTGATTTGTACTTCTAAGTTGTACTGGTATAATAGTTTAGTAAAAAAACAAAATTATCCACATTAGCAAATTAAATTTAGAATAATTTTAGAATCTGTCATCTCTTACTTTCAGAAAATCTTTGGTGCAAGTCGAATTTTTATCCTTACTCCGCTGCTAATAAATCTCTTATTTAATTTTAATGTTATCGAAGTAGGCTTCACATTTATTTGAAAATTGTCTCATTCCTGAAGCTCTAAGTTTTGTTTCGAATTCATTTACTGCTTCAAGTTTCACACAAACAACACACTATTTTTAAGCTTAAAGTGAAGTTTTATAAACACTCTAAATATATTTACACAACGTTAAAAGAAAGTAAAAATCAAATAAAAAAAATAGCAAAAAATTATCTAAAGAAAAAGAGAAAAAAAAAATACATATCGGGATGGATATACACATGGCATGGTAAGTGAAATTATTTATAGATCATATAATATTTATTGCATTTAATGTTTTAGATTGACCGAGTTTATGTAGCATGTATTGGACCGTCCACATTTTGTTTTTGGAGTCATATTGGAGTCAAAAATTCGCAGTTAAACCAAATCGACTCAAAATATCGAGGCGACTGATAAATTCCGGTTATATAATAATCATTTTTGTGGCAATAAAAACTAAAAGGAACTTGTGTGAATTATTTTTAAAAAGTTTCTCGTGCAGGTACAATTTCCTTCGGAGAGCTGGTTATAGTGCTGAAAATTCGATTTAGATTTAATGTAAATGACTAAAAATACTTTTGTGTGTATTTTTTAAAGTAATTCACTCGTTTTAAACATTTATATTCGACGATACGTCAAAACTAAAGCCATTTTCCAGTTGACTGCCAGTTGTTGTTGTTGTTGTCTCATGATGTTTGAGCCAACAATGTTGTAGTTAAATGAAAACTAGGCAGAGGCAGGTAGCGACAGCTGTCGCGGATGTGCGGAGCCGTGTAGGACTTGCCTATGGACGAACAACAACAATAAACACAACAAGCTGTGCATGAATAAATTAAGTGTGGGCTTGGCCCAAAGGCTTGTCGGGCATACTAATAAGTCTAATAAGTCGCCGCAGCCGAATGCAAATTTATAAAAGCGACGAGTGGGTGCCGAAGCAAACAAAAAGAAAAAACAATAAAAATGAGCTGAGCGCCAAACCGCCGGGTGAAATATTAAATTAAATCTTAATGGCAGCGTATCAAATGTAAAGAAGTCAAGGCCCGCGACAAAGAACAAACAGCGGACAAAGCTAACAAAGGCAAAAACACTTGCAATTGAGAAACCCACTACCCCTATCCACTCCCCTCCCCTCCCCGCCTCTTCGACACAGTAGCTTTGCTGACGTCTGGGCACTGGTGTCAAATGGCTGCCCACTGGGAGTCATTGCTTGGATTTCAGTGCCAGGTGCTACTCTGCAGCGAGTTAACTGACCGCTGTGCCCACCACACTCGCCTCTCCACTCTCCACACACGTCTCCTCGCACACCTGCCCCCTTCTCCAACCCACTGTCTAGGTTTAATTTGAGTTCCATTGCCGAGCTTAGTCATCGCGTCACTCGAGCTGACTAATCATTGCAGGCGACGCGTGCTTTCAAAGTATTGGAGAATTGGCAAAAGTGGAGAAATCTCCATTCAATAAACTCTTTGCTGACCGCCTGGCATTAGATGATGAACTTTATGGAGGTCTTTCTTGTTGCGCATGTTGTTCATTCAATTCAAAATTGGCAAATGTTTATTTTGGTCGATGGTCGATTGCTTTGAATCGTGCTCGGCTTTTGCTTAATCGTTTAATGCTCTCTGTTCTTCTTTTTGTTTATCTCTTTTTGAATGGACTTCAATGATTAAGAATATTCACAGCACAGCTGGGTGAAATTAATTACGAATCTTCTTTAAAGCTCGGCGAAACTTTTGAAAGGGGTTTAAATAAAAAAAATACATGTGTTTTTGATAGATGCGCAAAACTTTAACCCGAACTGGAAAGAAAACGTTTCTCAGCTGTTTTGCCAAGTGCTTTTCAAACAATTCTCATTTCTTTTAAAATTAACAGTTGATTTTATTTTGTTATTCAAAATTCAGTTTAAAACACAAACTTTCTTAAGATGGACGATAGACTTATCTTCAGCTTTGTCTTTAAATAAAGAAAAGAATATTTATTGCCTAACTATATTGCTAACAATTCTTATTTAATTTAAATTACATTTTTATTTGTAATAATTGTTATATTTTCTATAACAAATATGTCTAGCATTGGTTTTAAATAAAGTAAATAGTTTGAGAGTTCATGCGATTGATTTAAAGGCATATGTTATTATTTTTAAAAGCTTTGTATAAATTAATTGTTAAATTTAACTTATTCAAATACAGATTGACAAGTGTACTATTTTTCACAAGCAAACATCGCATTATTAACTCAATTATTCCATCTGCTCAAATTGGCTCCAATGCTTGAATATTTATTGCCAAACTGGATGCTGCAGTTCACTTGGCCACATAGTGAAATATAGACGCGTACTTACACACTCGATACCCACTTTCAACTTAAGTGCTTAGAGCACTAATATCTAATATCGCAACTGTCGTCGTTAAATTATGCTATGTAAACTCAACGGTAATAAAAAGTTAGAGAGCAGCTAATGCATTACGAATGAACTGAAGTTTGCCGAGCAAATAAAACCCTCAGTTGGATGGGCAAACTCCGGAACTGAGCAAACTATGTGTATATCATAGAACGCCATTCAGACAACAAAGGAAAAAGGACCCGGGTCGAGCATGGGACCGCGCCAACACTGGGTGGAGTCAGACAGATGGAGAGACCAAAAAGAACTCAGAGTACAGAATACAGCTTTATGCAGCATCCCCTGTCTGGGTTGACTCCTCAAATAAGCATTCTGTAAATGGGGGAGTGCATGGTTCTGAGTTTGCTTTTTGCCAGCTGCTCAGACAAACCACAACAACAACAACTGGAAATGGTAAAAACAGTCTTGGCCAGCTGGCGAAAGTGATTGAATTCCAAAAATATTCGTGGCGCCACTCGAACTGCGGGTTAGGAACGTTGCAAACACATTTCAGTTGATATCAAATACTTGCTCGTAATGTTAAAGCCCAGTTATTTATTGTACACTAATATCAGTCGACGCAGAAATAATAAATTATAAGTAAAATTATAAAATTCACAGCGTTATTTAAGTGCACAATTAGTACAAGATTTGTTTCATGGCTTTGGGAAAATACCCAGAAACATTTAAATAAGACCAAAACAATAAATGTTTGGTATGAAAAAGTTGGATGCTCAGCCACAAAATGCGAAAAAGTTATTCACCCGACGAGACCTTTAAATGGTGAAATGGAGGATTCTGAATTGATTGAATAATTAATTATGATTACAGAATATTTGAAAATGTTCTGGCAAAAAATAATTAATAAATAACGGATAGATCTCTTAGGGGAGGTAATACACCCCAGTCAATAGCGACGAACAACAAAAAGCAAAGAATTTCTTTTGCACAGACACTTTAGTTATGCTTGGGTTAAACAGATATTGTTGAGACAATACACTAGATTCTTATAGATTATTCAAGTCTAATATTGAGTGAGTTGATGTGATACCATATTGAAAGATATAAAAGTATCTTCACATACTCAAATTTTATTAAATCTGTTCACATGAGAAGCAATTAGTATTTTGCATCTGTCGGCTTTTAGTTGTGCATAAGAAAATGTTTAAATTTACTTTGAGGAGGAATTTGAGGCTTTTGTGGCTGTGTTTCATGTTTGGCAAGTTGTCTTTGTCGATTTGAACAAGAAGATATGAATCGAAACAGTGAATTCGTGGAAATTAATGAGCAGAAGGTCAATGACACGCGCACAGTAAAAGTACAGTTGATTGGGACTCCGCCCTTCGATTTTAGAGTGCAACAGAGCAACGAATGGTTAATTACAATTTGCATGAATGCTAGATGAGTTGTGAAAAATGCATTCGACCATTTGGCTAATTCTCAATTTAAATAATGAATACAAATCACATGTGATAAAGCATTTATGAAATTTATTTTACAACCTTTTTTACGGTTAGTTTTAAGTTTTTACAAAACAAATATTTTGCTCTTAATGCTCTTTTGTTTTGTAATAATTTAAAAAATAAAAGGTCGCTCTGTGTCAGCATTAGGTAAAGCCAAGTTTAATATTAATAGAAACTTACGAAGAACTAGCTAAACCATGCTTGCTCTCACGCCATCATTGGATGTAATTCTCCTTTGCTTTCGATGACGTCACTCGCACATCAAACGTTCAGATACGTCATCATGTAGCGTTTACTCTTGTTTTTTAACCCTTGCTTACGAAATCACTTTGCTATATATCTAGTTTGTAACTTTGCTTAGCTGCTAATATATCTCTTATTTCATAATTTGGTAATCCAAGTAGGCTTCGCATTTATTTGAATTTCATTTCAATATTTTTATTTTTTTATGTATTTTTAAACTTTCTAATTATCTATTACACATCTTCGCCCAACTTCAGCATCAGCATCAGAAAAGAGTAAAAAAAAACAACAAAATTAAAAAATCTCATTCTTATGGGGACAGCTGTAAGTAAGGAATTTCTCCTTATACCAAAAAATATTACAGATAATATTGATGACACTATATATTTGCAAAAGTATGACGGTGAGAAGCAGTCGGATGATCTATAATTCCTGGGTTGGAAGACTTACATATTTCTTTTGAATCTGGAATGGGAGCCAAAAATTCGCAGTTAAAACACATTAATCGAAGAAACTTACAAATTCTGGTTATTTTTATTGAAAATTTGTTTTGGCAATAAAATATTAAAAGACTTGTGAAGTTTCTCGTAATTGGAATATAGTTCTTTGTAACAACGGTATTCCAATTTTGGATTCGTTGCACATTTTTCGTGGCCTTAGCATGAAGTTGACACTTGAAGTACATCGATTTGTATATTTTCAAGAAAACTAAAAAACAAACTCTGTTTTGGGTTTAATAAAAATCAATTCCTATTCAAGGATCGATCGAATTTTTTTGAACAGAACAATTTATATAATATCAACTTCTGTCTTTCCCCAACTTTTTCCCTTTCTCGTGTAACATTGTCCATCCTGGGGCAAGTTTGGCCGCAGAGCGGCTACCATGTTGTGGCGGTGGCTTGACATTTAATTTACAATTCATTTCCTGTTATTTTCCGCCTGACATTTGCCGCAGTTTACACAACCCGGCGTCCAGGAACAGCCGCAGCCAAGTTCAGTCAGGTCAACCGCCCACATAAGGTAGTATTTACCGCTCATCTGCACTCTCCTCTCCTCCCCACCACCAATCGATTTGTAGCATGTCGAGCTAGCAGAAATCCTTGAGGTGCGCAGGTTTTTGGCACCCGCAACATCGAATCGTTATCCCCATTCACAGGCCCAACATCATCCTAGTCCTAGTGTGGCTGTTATGTGGCCATCATGTGTTCCGTGTCCCCGGCGATTGCCAAATAAATTGCCAACTGCATTTTGGAAATTGCCAAAATGCTCGCTTTTTGCGCAGAAAGAACAACTTAGGTGGCCAAAAATTGGGGATGATTGAATTGGTAGTGCAATGCAGCACGATTTGTTTGGGGTAGATTATAAACCCCAATAGACCTACAGCTGCTATATACATGTGTATATGTATATAAATAAATAAGAACGTCTTTGATACTGGCCACATAGCGTTGTTTCCTATGGAATCTTTTTAGCATGATTATTTATCGAAACGTGTGCAGTTACATATCAAATGAAATAAACTTGATATACGTTTGCTATACGATAATTTACTTTCCAAATTTGAAGTAACTAGCTATAGTCTCTGAGATCGGCTTGTTTCACAAACACAAATGTATTTCATAATAACTAAATTATTGACTATTATTAGCGTTATGATATAAATAAGTAGGCGGACAAGAATATCAAGAATATACTTTAATTATGCATGTTTTTGTAATTTTTTTTAAGCAAAAACTCGTATTCCAAACAGAAAATTTCTATATGCCACGAACAAAAATTGGCTACTTGGGCAATTCAGTAAGACGAACTTTGAACAGATAATGTTAATTGTATTTGAAATCACTTAAGTATAAAATTAACTATATACTTTGAAAAACAACAATAATTTTATGAATAATTAATGATAACGCTGAGTCTCGATTTCGTCATACTTTTTTTTTATAATGTAGATTTGGATATATAAATGGCACATATTAAATGAATAGATAAGAAAATAAATGTGTTACTCAATAAGTACTTTTAATATTTAATACCAGTTAGTTATTTAAATAGTTTTAAGTTTGAGGAATTTTATAACAAAGTAATAACTATAAAAATTAGCACATTTTCAAAACAGCAATATAATTTCGTTATTTTAAATTTTCTCATATTCAAATTTTGATATGCGCATATTTATTTATTTTTTTTTTCAAGTGTATGTAAAAGGAGTTTAAAATTCATGCTTCTCTTCATAAAAGCTGTCAAAATATGGATACAGACGCCTGGACGGGGGGCAGGGATTGGCAGAAAATTAAATGCAGTTATCACTATTTGTCATTGGTGGACTTCTGCGTTTCCGTCTCAATTAGTTAGACGCACTTAACAACGCTGTGTGCAATAAAAGTTAACACAGTTTTCATAACGAAATAAACGAAACCGGTTATTAAAAAAACAACAGCAACAACAATGAAAGCTTAGCAGTTGTGGTTGTTGTTGTAGTCATTGGTGTGTCGGCGGCGTCGCAGCAGCTGAGATTTTGCAGCTGCCCGTGAAGCAAAAAACAGCAGGTGAATCAGTTGGAAGGCCCCAAATACAAAGATGAAAAAGCACATGAGATAAAAAGTAAAGAGAAAAACAAAAACACAGCAGGCAATCCTCAATACGCAGCACAAAAAACAATGAAGACGTCGGCCAAGTTGAATGACAAAAGCAACAATAAAAAACAGACACACACACAGACAGAGAGAGGAGAGAGAGAGAAGCACGCACACACGCAAAGCAAAGTGGAGCAAGACACAAAACAAAACACGACAAAAACAAAAAGGGCCAAAGTTGAGGGCCAAAAATCAATAGAAACGGGAAGTGCGCGCATAAAGGACACACAACAAAAGCAACAGTGAACGAAAATTTAAAAAACAAACTATACTTACAATAACTGTTGTTGCTGCTGCTGCTGTTCTTATGTTGAACGGTGAATGTTGAATGCTTTTACATATGTTCAAGGAACAAGGGGAGGGGGCGCGGGGGGAACCTTCGATGGTGGTGTGTATAAATATTTGACAAGCGGGGGTGGTTTATTTACTCTCAGTCGAAGTAAATTGCACAATTGGAATTTGGAGCAGCGCACGTTTATTTTATTTACGTCGTTTGCCGTTTGTTTATTCAAATGTCAATTAACACAAAACGTTTGTAACGGAGTTCTGACCACACGCCGTACACACCTACACGCTTCGGCTTCTCAAATCTAACTGCAAGCGGCAGCAAAAGACTGTTTCAAGCTGATCCGATACATTGTAATCAAGCACAACTATTATTGAGTGTGCACACACTGGACGATTGTCGATTACTTAGCCGGTTGGCAGGTCTTTAAATATCGATAGACAAAATCATTTAAGTATCTAATTCGAGTGTATTTGATCCATGAAATTAATTTTATTTTATTGTGTGTATATTTTGCACATTTGGTGTGGTTATTTAAATATATTTATCAACTGCTATCGATATATCGACCAGCAGCGAATTGCCTACTGAGTCAATGTGACCGTCTATGTTTGCAATAGATATCGATAAACAAGCGCTAATTCCGCTGTCTTCTTTAGCATTTCGCGGTGCTTGCTCCTATAATTTTCGCAAATAAACGTAATTAAAGTGTTTTCTGCGTGTGCAAACTCAACAAAATTGTTTCAGAGCAATACAGCAACACACAAGTAAGTTACAGCTAAATGTTAAATGTGAAAAGTGCCCAAATCGGGCGCATGAATTCACACACACAAAATACGCTGCACGCACACCAATACACGTGCAGAAATGCGAATTTTGCGAATCTGATGCGATTAACACTTGCAATTGTATTTGTAATTCTTGTGTGTTAACTTAATTTCCAATTGCGCTACTGCCTGCCAGCCGGTGTGTGTCTCTATTAGCGCGGGCGGCTTGTGACGAATGGCGGGCTTCACACACACATACGTACACATACACAAGCTGTGCGACGCGCGCACAAAACACACACAGACACGCACGCACTCACACAGGTGAATGAACTTTTTTGCGTTGTTTTGTAATCTCGATCTTTTTGCCAAACACATATATGACACTTATGCATGTGTGTGTGTGTGCAGCATACATGTCTAATTGTTTTGAGTGCGTGCTAATAAAAAAAATCGAGCCATTTTATCATATTTGCTTTGTGAAGATCCTCGCAGCCAGTGTTGCTCACTCAATTTTGCACATGCATTTTGGCTCTCCTCCGACGAAATTGTCGCACACGTTTTCGATACATTTCATTCCTTTTATTTATTTTTCGACGAGTTCATTTGCATATTTGTATAAATTGTTTCCACAGCAGCAGCAGTTACTGCTGTTCTCAATGTTAATGAACTTGCGTTCGCATTTTGTATTTTTTTTATTTTTTATTTTGCAATACATATTTAATAAACATTGGACAGATGTGTCGCCTGGATATTTATTGATCGCATTCAGAGTCGCATTTCACATACCCTACCCAGAATTAAATAGGCAGGTTAATATTTTTTTTTAAAGAAATTTCAATTTTGTTGTATTTAATATAATTTAGTTTTTAAGGCAAAGCGTTTGCATAAAAATACACTTGTTGGTTTTTTGTTGTTTTGTTTTCATACAAATACAATAAGTTTTGTAAACCATAGTTTAAAGCACTCTATAGTATAGTTAGTATATATATATATATATACTTTTGATAGTTATATTTATTTTACCTACATATTTATTTGATGAACTGCGAACAATTGTACTCCGGAACATTATTATGTATTATGTAATCGGAGGCTGGCCCAATAACTTGACTTTTGTATTAGTTTTTTTTTGTTAGAAATAGCGCTAGGCAAGCGAAATTGTTGTTACTACATAGTTAGTTAAGCACTTCGAAGCGAAAGCCCTGGCTCGTTAATAAATTCCGCAAATATTTTAAATTCCCCATATTTAAGTGTAGATGTTTAGAGTTGCTAAATTTAAGTATATATAAATATAATGTATACAAAAAAGGTGCTTCGTTTAAGGAGAGTAAGGGAGATAATCGTAAATTTGATTTACATTAAGTTTGAGACATCATTTAATAGGTATAATTAAGTATAGTATATAATAAGAAAAAGGCAATTCAATTTGTTGCGATACTTTCATATTTGGTACGTTTGCCAACACTGTGAAAAGGACGCGCGCGCGCTTTTTCAAATTCAACGAAATCACTCATTTGATCAATCAGTGTTGACAAAGAAGTAGAAGAGACAGATCAAGTATAATTAGGTTGGGGAGTTGAATGGGGAAGCTCAGAGTATATATTTGCCCTTGCCCCGATGCTCCGCTTGCCGCGTCGACGTTGTAGTGGCGCCACCAAGCAAGTAACTGGCGCTGGCGGCGCCACTGCTGTTGCTGCTGTTGGTGCTGCCGTAGCTGCCATAATAGCCATCATAGCCATCGTAGCCATCATAGCTGCCATAGCCGCCGAGCGGCAGGGCGTTTAGCTAAATCATCAGTGCCGAGAACGGGTTATAGCGCATAATCTTCGACAGCAGTATCCACAGCACTGATGTTATTGCGCACAACACCACGCCGCCCCATCCCAAATCCAGACTCCACGACGTGAGAAAGACTCGTGCGCCCAGCAGCGGCTTGGCCACAATGGCCACACCGCCCGGACGCGCCACAATGCCATCGACGGTGCCATCGTAATCGCTGTCCAGCATCGGGCGTCCCTGCTGTCGCTTAAAGTGGATTATCATCAGCGTGAACAGCGCAAACAATGCTGCAAATAAGTCCGAGAACAAGTTGCCATCATCAGTTGAATGTGGTTGGTTTTGCGGATTATTTGGGTTTGGTTGTTGCGCTCACCTGCCAGCAGATACATGACGCCCGTAATGAGTATGGCACTTATTTGGCGCTGGCAGACGCCAAAGGCGCCAACCAGAGCGGCACTGCCCAATATGATGAGGCAGACCAGTGAGCAGGATATCGACAGGTTTTGCATTCCTAGTAAAGGAACATTTCTTAATTAGTTGCAGTCCATATTTAATATAATAATACACAAAAATAAACATAAAATGCAATTGGGGAGCATTTACAAAGGCTAAGGATTCAGAAATGGTTCAGGTTGTTCTGCAGAGCAAAGCTTTATGCAACAATTTATTTATTTTCAACTAATACCACTCGACATACAATAATAAATTAAATTATACTAAAAATATAATTTAATATTGAAATTTAAATTACAAAAAATAAAAAAGATTAAGGTTTAAGGTGAACATACATAAATACATATCTACACACATAGTTGGAGCAAGTAAATATATAAGTATTTGCATAATATATGTATATACATTACATAATGTGTATTTTTATATAACAAGTGTAAATGGCTCAGATGTAGATGACCATGACCCCTAGTCCCCACAAGAATTTCGAACTTTCTATAAGAAATGTTCAAGCAATCGTAATATAAATTATACCTAATATAAAATATATAATATAATACATTATAAACTTAACCGTCTAGTGCCCAAGATCGCCTTTAGAAGGCCAAAGTTTATTTTCGTACATATTTGCTTTTTAGTAAGACGTATAAAAAGTTCGGCTACACTTTTTTTTTTGCCATACGAAGTTTTGTTTTTACAATATTCATTTCCAACTGCGACAACAGTTTTTTATTTAAATATTTTTTAAATTAACACTTTGCAAAATAATTATTTTGTCCAACTTTCACCAATTATCAGCTTCATATGAGTGTGACAGATATGTGTGACAGTATATGTTGAAAACGACAAAGAATACATTATTGGGGTTCCCCAAATAAAAAGAAAAAATTTAGCAAAACGCCAATTTTTAAGTCATTAAGCGAAAAATAAACTCAAGTCGTGTAAATGGCGAACTTGGCCACCAGATAGTTAAAGTCAATTTTCTTGATCATTTAATGCTCATTATACTTAAGGCATTTATCATAACAATTCCTATGAATATTTCATTTAAAAATTGTATAGAATTCTTCAACACAAACGAGAAAAAGTTTATATCTCATCACAAATTTGTTCATTGTATTTAGGCAGAGTTTCAACTTATTCTCAGCTTAGCAATTTTGTTTTCGTTTTAATCCGTGAGTAGCACCAAAAATGCAAAAGGCATTATTTGCCATGTTGATTTTCCAATTTTGTCCATAAATTATTGTATGTATGCTTTCTGAAATGCTTTGGTTATCATAAAGATACATCTTATGATTGAAATAGTTTAGTTAGATAGAAGTGGAAAAGTTGAATCATTATATGAATGAACTCGATTTAATTTATATCTTCTGCTATTTTTTACTTTAACAATATTATTTCTCAATGTCGCTTTGCAGCCTTAGTTTGTCTACGTGTATTTTCCTGCACCTGGGACAAAATACACTCAAACAAAAAACCGCAATAAAAATGCATTTACCCCTTGTATTGTTGCACTGAGTGTGCCAATTAAAGTCAGCGCCACCAAGCCAAAGTCGAGTATAAAACTAACTCACCAAAACCCAAAGTGGCAATTGCGATTTACAACGTTTGGGTGTGGGCCATAGGTGGCACATGCCCCAAATCACATCATGGCCTAATTTTTTTTTGCGCTTTCTGTTTGTGTTCTCTGGCACGATATGTCTCGCTTAAGGCGGAGGGGTTAGGAGGAGCAGGAGGGATGGGATGGACACGTGTGTGGTTCGATATCGACAATGGCTTGGCGTGGAACTTAGTTTGCAACTATTGGTGCTATTAATTGTTGTATTGTCATTTGTTGTGTCGTATTTCTTTTTTCTGCTTAATGTACTCCAAGGATTTGAAGAGAAAGTCTCGGTCCGGCAAACTTTCCATTGGGGATTAGTGTTAATGACTTGTGAAATGTGCGGGCAGAGCAAAGGCAGCGATTTAAGCCACAATGGATGAAGTGAATCGCTGAGCCAAGTGAAATGAATGAATGCTGTGACAGTTTTGGGCATCAGGCTAATTGGCGTTATTAGATAGATTGAGTAAAGTGGTTTTTCTTTTTACGATTGATATTTGCGTTTGCCGATCTCTCTACATACATCTAAAGTGACGTCTAGGGCACAATCTCTACATACGTTGCTAGTGGTGGTGGTTGTGGTGTTGGCGGGAGGAGGAGGGTAATTATATATATATGTGTGTGTGTGTGTGTGTGGATAAATGAAAGATAAAATACCAAACTGCCAAGTGTAACATTAAAACAAATCAATTGAAATCATAATGGATTTACAAAATAATTATGAATTTGTGTATTAATTTTGAAAGTCATTAAACTTAATTAGTATTTCCATTTCCCATTTTAAAAGTGTCAACTGTTAATGATAATTCAAGAAGCTAAAAAAGCAATTGAAGAAATTATAATTTATGTAAAAATAGGACTCTATTTCCAAAATAATTCAAAGAATTTTTTGCATTTCCCATTCTACAAGTGTCAAGTATTTAGCTAGGTCTAGTTTAAAAATAAAAACAAAAAGACATGATCAATTTAATAATGAATATCATTTAATTAAAATCGGTCTTTTTACAGTCAACTTTCACAAGCAACGCTGAAATGTCTGCCGAAGCTGAAGCAATTGTCACAACGGCTGCTGCCGATGCAACATCAGAGAAGACAGTCGTCGAGCCCGTCGCCGCGGATACGACGCCGGACGATGCGCCGTCGGAGCAAGGCGCATCTGGCGGCAAGGCGGAACAGGAGCGTGCCGAGAAGATACTCAAGGGCAAAGAGCTGTTCAGTTTGGGATCGCGTAACTTTCTGGTCAAGAGCTATGACGAGGCAGCCGATGAGCTGAGTCAAGTGTGCCAGCTATACGAGGAGGTCTACGGCGAGCTGGCCGATGAACTGGGACAGCCACTGCTGCTGTGAGTAATGACGATGTCACAAGATTATATCTGGGCAGATAATATAATAATTTTATATGTTTCTTGTAGGTATGCCAAGTCTTTGATTGCCATGGCGCTAGATGAGAACAAAGTGATTGATGTGCCCGATGAGGCGGCCGACGATGATGAGGATGTGGACGATGATGAGGACGACGAGGATGAGAAGGGCGACGCAAATGGAGAGAAACCAGCGTTGGCAAAGGCGGCCAACGGTGCCACAAATGGCGAAAAGCTCCATACCATTAAAGAAGGTGTTGCCGATGAGGCAGATTCCACAGGCGATGCTGGGCAGTCTAAGGACGATGAGGCCGCAGGAAGCTCGAAGCCACCGACAGGCGTGGATGAGGTGAGCAGCAGCAATGGAAATGCAACTGCCACAACTAGCAACGATGATGAACGTCCCAGCACCTCTAATGGCGAGGTGACAGCCAGCACCAGCAACGGAGCAGCAGCAGCCAGCATGGATGTGGACCAGGCCGAGGAAGACACCGAGGAGGGCGAGGGTGTCGCCGGCAGCCTTCAGTTGGCCTGGGAGATACTCGAAGCGGCGGCCAAGATCTTCTCGCGCCAAGGTCTCAGCGGTCTGACCTACCTGGCCGATGTGCAAACGGAACTGGCCAACATTGAATTCGAAAATGGTATTCTGGATGCGGCACGCGAGGATTATGGTTAGAATTCACATCATATTTGGGTCGTTCTTTCCCATTAAGCTTTATGTTTTAATTTTTTGTGCAGAGAAAGCGCTGAAGATTCACGCGGAGCTGCCCAGCCAGAATCGTCGTGCGCTCGCCGAGCTGCATTACAAGATCGGTCTTACCTATCTGATGCAGCAGCTGAATAAGGAGGGCGCCGCAGCCCTGCGCAATTCGAGCGTCCTCATCGAGGAAGAAATTGCCGAAATCAAGAATAAGGCGAATCCCAGCGAGCGCGAGAAGAACAACATGCTCGACTTGGAGGAGACCAAACAAGAGATTCTCGTCAAGATACAAGAGATCGAGGACACCCAAGCGCAGGTGAGTCCCAGTTGAACATAAAACGATAAGTGATGCTCACTATTCCAATTTCAATTGCAGACTATAGCCGAGGTGCGCGCCGCTTTGGACAGCTACATCAAACCCATGGGCAGCAGCAGCAGCAAGAGTGTTGTAGATGCTGCTGCCTCCTCTTCGACAGCAGCTGCTACCGCTGTCAATGGTGCTGCATCAAGTTCATCATCGTCCACGGCATCGTCGGTGGCGGCGGCATCCTCGTCAGCCATCAGCAGCAGTTCGGCCAAGCCCACGGATATCACGCATCTGATCAAGCGCAAGAAGCCCGAAGAGCCCAGCTCGGAGGCTGAGGCTCTCTGCTCGCCGGCCAAGCGTGCTGCGGTTTAGATACCTTTCCAAACTGCACATTCCAGTTAAACACACGCACACACCAACACACACACCCATAAACACATCAGTTACTTTAAACTCACACACACACACACATGCTTTTCTTTCCCCGTATCCTATTTAAGTTTATATGCTTAATGTTTTTTCCTGTTTTACACCAATCATTTTCTATAAGTCTGTGTAACATTACAATCACAATTAGTGCTAAGTGCATAAGTACATAAAATAATGTTTTTATACTATTAAAAAGAAAGAAAACAAGAAACTAAAGGTTGCTTTCAAAAACGAACGTGTTGTGTGTGACAAGGATTGGATTTAGATTTGGCTTGGTTGGGGCAGGATTGCGGCCCCAATACGTACTCAGATGCGGCTGCAGTGTGATGGCCTGGGACTCACTGTGCTGCCAGTCGTTGCGCTGCTCCTCGCCACGCGCATTCTCCATGGACCCGGCCAGGTAGTTGACACACGGCGGTGCACCGCGCGGAAACTTTGGATTACGGCGCAGCTCCTGCAACTGCTGCATCGGCAAATCGATGCACAGTGTCCAGATGCCGCCGTGCATCGGCACCAAAAATACTGAATCGCGTCGAAAACGATGATCGGCTTAGGAATAAACATATGGAAATATATATAGAATTTACATATTAACATTAACACAATTGGAGTGGATTAATTTTGTTCATGAGTTTCCTTTTAAGAAGGAAAAGTCCAACGTGCTCATTGAGGAAGTAATGACCGAGCTCAAGAATAATGAGAATACTTATTTATTTCTGTGTCGAAATGTTGTTTTTTCTCCACATCCATCAAAAGTATAAGAGTCCTTCAGTTACTTAATTTTATTGACACAATTTTTAAACTGCATTTCTACTAGCCCAAGCTTCAAAGATATTTTTAAAGTCATTTACAATCATTATACCCTTCTAAAGGATTTTATATTATTGTCAGAAATTTTGTAACGCATTGACGGAGACGTCTCCGATTCCATAAAGTATATATACTATTGAGCAGTATTTCTAGACAAGTCGGTATAGTCATGTCCATCTGTCTGTATTTTTTTATACAAAATCAGTTTTGAAGCTTTTTTGATGGAACTTGTATCAGAACCCGCCTGATCACCGTCGACATTGGACTTATTCTTGTTTAATCTCCGGCGTGCCGAAGATAACCGGGAATTGTTCTTTTCATTTACAATGACTTTAAATTCGTTTTTTCAAGTTTTGAGTATAACACAGTCAGTTGTATCTCTTGAATAATTTATCAATTTATTGTTGCATTAAATCTGACTTAAAAGTTGAATTTATGTACATATAATATATATTCAAATTGTCGGAGATGTTGTAGCTGAAAAATTTGCTACAGGACAATTTGCATTTATTGGGAGACAGTTTGCGAGCAGTAAGCAATTGTTTTTTGGTTGGAAACCTACCTCTTTTGTCCGGCTTGAGCATGGCCACCTGCTCATCGAGGAGCCACTCCAGATGCAGACCGGATCGATTCGAATAGCGATCCAGACTGTTGCGATCCCACGTCACGTGCTCCCAGTGGTCAGTCATGATGGCGGCACACAACATGGCCGTCGCACTGGTGGTCATCAGCAGTGTGACAAAGAGGAATAAAACCGGAGGTGGTCCCATGCAGCAACTTGAGCAACAGGCGCTGGCGCCCGTACCACTGCCCATGCCTAATCCGTCCATGTGTGAGCTGAGCGATGTGGATGTGTCTAAGGCGGCGCCGCCACCAGCCGCACTGCCACTCCCCCGTCGCTGTATTACCTTGGCGCAGCTGTTTTGCCTGAGTAGGATGCTGTTGCTTCGCCTCAGACTCTCAACGGCGGCGGCAGCTGCCGCTGTTGTCGCTGCGTTGCCGGCGGCGTCAAACTGCAAGGAACCCCCAACGACGGAAGAGGGATGCTCATAAATGCTATTGTGTCGACTGGGTGCAAAATAGTAGCAAGTGGTTTGTCGTGGCGCCAACTCCGTTAGCTCTGGGCCACCAGGCAGCTCCTCATTGCTGCTGGAGTAGACAATCGATTGCTTGAACTGATTCGAATAGCAGTTCTGCTTGAAGGATTGCGACGATTGTTGCTGTTGCTGCTGCTGCTGTTGCTGTTGCACGTAGAGTGCCTCGTAGTCACAGTGTTGGGGATTGCGATAGATGACGGGCCAGGAGCGTGTCGTCTTTGAGTTGTGGCTATAGCGATTGGTCGTCGTTGGATTCGCTGTGATTGTGGCAGCGGCACTGCAATGCTCCTCCACCAGCGGTGTCAGCTCATTGGGCACCTCACCAATATCGCCAATGGACTGTTGCTGCTGCTGTTGCTGGTCCAGTTCCTCCTGCTGCTTCTCCTCTAGTTGTGTGGTTGTCGCCAGCTGGCGTTGCAACACATTCTTGCCGCTGCCACTGAGCACTGGCAGCTCTGCCGTCAGCAATGTGAAATCCTCCTCCTCGACCAGAGTGGCGCTGCCAACGGCTAAGCCTAAGCCTGGCGAGAAAATGCTGTTAGACGTGGGCTGTGATCGACTGCGCAGCAGCGTTATGTGTTTATTCGGTGCATCATGTTGTTGTTGTTGTTGTTGATGATGTTGATTTTGTTGTTGCTGTTGTTGTTGTTGCTGCTGTTGGTGGAGGCTGGTGGGCGATGTGATGCTCACCTCGGGCACACATCGAGCCGTCACCTTGTACCGGCTGCCGCTGCCAACGCTGACGCCGACGCCGACACCGACGCCGACAACGACGGCACTGCCAGCGTTGGCGCCCTTGGGCCGCACCAGTCATAAGTCTGAGCTGTCCCTTTTTTTGATCTTGTTCAGGCTCATGTGGTTCGTGGCGGTGGTTGTGGTATTTGGTTGTGGTTTTTGTATTGGGTTTTTTTTTGTTGTAGCTGTGCCTGTGGTGGTTGCTTGGATGTACTGATAGATGGCGCTGAAGGTGTTCTTTTGTTTTGTTTGGCTTTTTTGTTGCGTTTACTAAATTTTTGTGCGGCGCCTAAAAGTCTACTATGCAAAATGTAATCTTTGCTTTGTGCCACAAAAGAAAACTACTAGCGGCGTTTGTTGTTGTTTTAGTTGTTGTTTTAGTTGTTGGTTGTTGTTGCTTATCTTGCTACTTGTTGTTTCGGCAACAGTTTCAATTTGTTGTTGTTGCCTTTGCTTAACGTTAGTAGTAAGTTCTTGTATGTACCAATTTACAGTTATGTTTGTTTTTGACTTTGTTTGTTGTTGTTGTTGTTGTTTTCTTGTTCTTGTGTTATTTTTGATGATTTCTCGTTTTTGATTTTGTTTTATTTATTTTTACTACGTTTTGCAAATTTTTGTCTTAGTTTGAAGCTATAAAAAGAAAAGGAAAAGAGAAAACAAATGTACAACATGAGTTTTGAAGAGTTGAGAGACAGAGAGAAAGAGAGAGAGAGAGAGAGAGAGAAAGAGTCGAAAGTTGATTTTGATACAAATATATGGATAAAGCAGCTAAATACTGGTAGATATTCAAAGGTAATGTTAAATTGGATGCTACAAATTTTCAATCTATGTTTTAAGCAAAGCATTTCAATTAAGTGTGTGTGCGACTGAGACAGCGATAGTGAACATGACAAGCAACATTTATTTAAATTAGAGATTATAAATTTACAAATATTAAGAAATAATAAAATATCAAATAAATTGTATTGGCATATATAAATATATATATATGGTTATATATATATATATAAAACTCATTAGAAATAAAAAAGTTAGGTTTTGTTGTGTTACTATTGTTATTTTTTAAGACCTAAATAAGATGAAACAAAAAAGTTGTTGGGAGCTCTTTTTACCGCTTATAAGGTGACCAAGAAACCCCGAAATAAACTTTATCTGCTTTGGAGTGGTTTTGGGCACTAAATGATTATTAAAAACAATAAAGAACATTTAACTTTGACACGTTAAGGACTCTATACAGTTACTTATTAGAGTTCACCTGGTTACAGTTTAATTTATTTGTTTTTAAAGCTGCCCGTTCACCTGTATGTCACCTATATATGATATAGTAGTCGCGTGACAATTGTTAAAAATGTAGAAAGCACAGCCGGTTTCGAAAAGAATAACATTTTCGTGAGTAGCTTATTCACAATATATATATATATATATATATATTATTCCATAATTGTTGTTGTGCGTTTCTGTCAAAAGAAAATAATAATACCCCTTGCAATATTGACAAGAAAAAAGCCGGAAAAGCCCCGTATCATATGTCCTTATTATACTCATTTAACGATGCTCTAGTGTCATCTGGGCTTAATGTTGGCTTGTATATATACACATACATATATTACAACATCTACGATATGTGTGCATGCCTGAGAGCTGTTTGTATTATGAAATAATGTACCCGTTAATGCATTTGAGGTGTCTGCATTTAAATGACAGCTCATAACAGATTTTTCGCTTTATAATTAAAAGGGGTTTAAGAAAGTGAAATGTGCTTCTGAATTGTTTAAGTTCACAATGCACATGGTCAATTTATGTAGATACTGTAAGCCTTGCCGTAAAATCTGAAAATAATATCGATCTGGTGGTTTTCCGGTGTAAGCCCGGTTCAAGTAAACCAATAACATTCCCATAAACAACCAATTCACAACAGTTTTAGTTGGACTGACTTTGATTTGTAAACATCAGCACAGTTATAATATAATAAATCTCAACTAGGTCACATAAATTATAAGCATAATGGGATTTGTCTTTTGCTATGATTAGCTGTAGATGCGCGTTGAATAATAAGCAGCTTGATTGCATTTGCAATTCCAAGCACAATGACCTGAAACTAATTCAATTTGATGGTGCCAGAATTTCATTTCATTCGCGAAACTCGCGAAATTTAGAAATTCAATTGTGCCATTGCGCCAGGTAGAGCTGAAATCGCCTATCGTCCTTTTCGCCGTACTCTGCGTCCCTGTGCTGCCCTGACCCGAATCCGGAGAATGTGTCCTGCATTTTGCATGAGGAGGGGCCCACAACCTCAACGCTCAGCGGAAATCCGCTGGTATGTGCGACTTTCTCCTCTTTCCCCATCCGATTGCCTATCTTCATGCTTGAAATATCAATTTATGCCAGATTTTAAGGGCCAGCGTCATTTTCGTTGGCCACTCAGTCCCATACACATTATATGTATGTGTGTATGCATTTTTGACAGGTCTGTATACACCATGTTAGAACCCAACTATTTATCATAGTTACACATTTACATATATATGCGGGCAGTCTGTGCTGCTCTGCTTTCCTTGCGGTCAGCAGCTTGAGTTGCAAGTGCGCCTGGAAAACCGCATTTGCGGTTTAATTTTCCTTCTGTTCTAAATGAAGTTAAATAATTGACATAACTTTAATAAAAAAATTAGGTTTTGGTTTTCATTTCGTTTAAATTTACTTATCTTCTTTTAAGAGCAGTGATGCAATTATATAAATACAGGATTTTGCAAGGGGGTTCACAGATGGCACCTGCCTCGTCTACATCTAAACTTAACATAGACGCAAATTGGCATAGATTTAACATTATACAAACAAAAAATACGGGAAATTAGCTAAATTTAGCATTTAAATCCATTTAAATCGCACCAAGAAACCACAAGGAAGAATGTCGAGAGAGCTCGACTAGGAGCCTCTTTACCTATCAAGAGTCGTGAAAGTCTTACATATTGAGACTATCTCTCATTGTAGGTATCTATGTGTGTTTTAATATTTATATCTATGTATAAATACAGCACACTTATACAGAGAATGCTTGTGTTTGCTGCTGCGTAATTTGGTAAATATGAATATACGATTTTCCCGCTGCTTCCAGTCGGCTGATGAAATTATTAAAGAAGAAAATGGAAATGTATGTAATATGCATTATGCTCAGTAGATGACAGCAAGATGATAAATTTTAATGGCCAACATGTAACATTATTATTAATGTAAAAAATGTGTTTCTTAATAATTACGAACAACTTTATATATTTAATGCTCATTTACTTTTCTTTCGTTTCTTTTCAACAAATTTAGGAATTGACAATTCATTTGAAACACATATTAATTTCTTTTACACTCTTTACTAAATACATACATAAAACTTTATTTGGTTTTATAAACAGTCAATATTGCAATTAATTGTGCAATTGAGAGCACTGCTGACTAAACCTTTAATGCTGCTAAGAATAATATTTCTATGAGTTTTCTAGTAAATTACAGCTTTATACTAAGTAACTATAATTGAAATAAATAATCTTCATAAATAATTATTTTTTCTTTGTATAATTTCCCCACATTTAATTGGATATTCAAAAGTCTATCTGTAAGTGACGATATACAAATTTTGGATAAGAAATCAAATCTTTTCGTATTTTGTATTTTTAATCAGTTACCCTAAAAGTATGTGAAGTTAATTAGAAGTGAAACTCATTTTTCTATGATAGTACATTATCTGTCAATTCACAATAGTATAAATCAATAGCCATTTAAAATTTCGAGCTTTTCATACGCAGAAAATTTGTTATTTGAATGATAAACCAATTTATCATGCTTGTTCGTGTTGTAGTAATTGTAATAATGATTAGATTCTTTTTACTAACGCTTAAAGTTTTCTCATGCAGTTGTTGCAAACATGTCAGTTTTCAAGTTAGTTAAGGTGGTGTGATTCTGACTGGTTCTTTTAGCAGCTGCGTACGTGACGTGCTCTGGGTAGATGTGAAAGTGCCACACTTCCTTTTGGAATACATTTGTTCGCTCGTATAGTTTGCTCAATATTTAATGCAAACGAAATAAAGTGGCAGGCAAATCTGTTGCATATTTGCATAATTGACGAGCTGCTGATCACTTGTGTGTGTGTGTGCCTTTGGTCGGTTGCAGGTAAATCCACCTTTGTACAGATGGAGTCTTTCCACAAATTAATAAGCACGTTTAAAATAGCTTGAGGCTTGCCACTGTAACTGAATTGATTGCTCTGTGTTTCAGTTTCAACTGTTGGCATGAAAATAACTCAATTAACTCGTCATTCGCATTTGTCGTCGTTGTTTCTGTCACCTGGCACCTGACCCATCACTACCTCCACAGCTCAATACCACAGACTCACGCATTGCAATTGCACACATACACCACACACACACACACACAGCTGCATTGCTGTGTGTACGTGAGTGAGTTGTAAAACTTTGCAGTTGTCTGCATGTTTAAAATGGGGCAGGGAGTACAGAACTTTGTCCTGGTCTTGCTCGGGTCTTAGTGGTCGAGAACAGTTTGCAATGTTTACGCTTCTAATGGGAAAAAGGGAAACAAAAGTTTTGACATTAATGAAGCTACAGATACTCTTAGTTTAAGCCTTTTATGGTTGAACCATGACTGAGGATTAAATATTGCATTCCTCTGAATCGTAAAGAAAGAAAATTACGGATCTAAAATTTGTGGCTAGTTAAAAATGGGGAAAAATGTACAATGAAGCTGTACAAAGTTTTATGTAGAGAGTAGGCTATTGGCACCTATATAGTATATATATTCGTAATTTGCATCAACCGACGAGATTTGTCAGTTCGAATAAAAAAGCTGCTCTCAGAGATCTATAAGAGCTAGGAATATCAATTTGGAATATAAGTTCTCGATAACTGCCCTCTGTTTGCGAATATCGATATAAATCGATTTCCGATAGCAAAAAAAGGCTCAATTGTAAAGATTTGGCCCACAAATTGATTTATATTATATCTAGGCACATAATTAATCAACTGTTACAATTTTTATTAATAACGGATAAGAAGTGAAAAGTTTGCCAAACAAAATGTTCTTTCATATTGAACTTACAACTATCTTCATGCCAACATTCCGCTTGGTATTCACGTATTTACCCGTGAAGCTCTCTCGCATAGAGCATTCAAAATGATTCTGTACGAATTTTATAAAAACTTTTTTAATTAAAAGTGCAATGGTCAATAAAGTTAATGAAATTGTTAATGCTTAATTTATTACTCTCGTTATTTTGACATATTTGGGATGGATATTTATATCCCTGCAGTGGGCAGTATAATTATGTCGTTAGCTGGTTTATGCAGTAAGCATCGGTCCTCCTCCTATAGGAGAAATTGCATTTACAATTTGCAGCATTCATTGAATGGATTCCCATTTCCCATGGAAAGTATCGACTAAAGTCATTTCATGTGCAACATGTGCAACAATTGCCGGCAGTCTTGTGGAACAGTAATTTTTCCGTAGTGCGGCATTTTTTATGCATGTAATTAAAATGACACTTTATTACACTCACACACTTGTACACACAAACAAATACACTGGTACACACACACACACACACACACACACACAAACAGATACACACTTGTGCAAGTGACAGGCAAGCTGATTGCGCATTTTGTTGGTATTTCCGTTGTTGTTGTTGCCTTGGAAACGCTGTTGCCTTGACAATTAACGGCGGGCCCAACAACTATTTTTGTTTTTAGCTCGCTCCCCCTTCGCAAGGGGTCACCATGAATTAGCCAAGGCAGACAAAGTCACGCCCTGCCCATGCCCCTGGCCCCACACCTCGTACTGCAAATGACGCAATGCAAATGGGCAATATTCAGCGCACATTTTCCAAGAGAAAATGCTCGTTGCGTCGCCGAGAAAAGTTGCTGCTAAAGTTTTGTTTATGTGCCACGCTGGCTTTTTGCGCTTCCAATTTAGCGCTTTTCGCTTTTCTGAATATCATCTCGTCTGCCGACTTTTAGCAGTAAAATCTCTATGCATTTCTGAATTGCAGCCAACTTATGTGCTCAGTATTTTCACGCTAATTAAAAATTATTTCGTGGAATTCCAATTAAATTATGTGCATAAGTCAGGCTGAAGGCGTGCAATTTTTTTTTTTTAATCAAAAGTTGGACTTCAAGTTAAAAGCATTGCTGATTACGGTTGTTATAATTCCATTGCGTAATTTTATGCACAAATTGCCCAATTGAGAAATTTGGTTAGTTATTTTGAAATGTTTATTAGTTCTCCGTAAATTTAATAATATAATCTGGATTACATTATGAATGGGCAGAAATTATGACGGATTGTTATGGAAAATTTATTATTATCTGAATTCTGGTGTATTTTCATGTAAAAACAAATCAAATATTTTAGCATTTCAAGTTAATGAAGGCAGCATTGATGCTGAACATTGAAAATCCACTTGGCGCTATTGGAAATGTACTTGGAATTACTTGAATAGGGTATCCCTAATATCTGTTTTTGATCGTCTACTGCTCCAAAACGAATTAATTTTAATTTTATTCTTATAGAAGTATATTTAATTGTTTTAATTTGAACGTACGAAAGATTTAATTTTTGGCTTTTAATTATTGCATAAAAATGATTATATACATTGTCAACAACCTACTAACCAAATTTGGTGAATGTAGCACTTCAATTTATACACTTTGTTTATACACTTTGTCTGAGCCGGGCCCAAATTAGTATATATTACAGGTTTCAAGTCAAGACAGAGAGACGAACGGATGAACGGACAGCATGATGGACACTTTTACTGTTCAATACTTTAAGCATTTGGTTTGAATTGGAAGCAAACTAGTTTTTCAAATAGTAATTTAGTGTAATTGAGCTCCCAGTTGTACAATTATATAGGATAACTTTGTTAAAATATTCTGATTCTAGTCAACAATACTTTGAAATTCATTGTTGAACAATTCTTTCAAATTTTGAGATTTATTAATCTCAATTTGCAATTGCTTAGATTATTTTAAATTTATTTACCAAAAGTTAAGAACTTCTCTAACCTAGTTTCGAGCTTGTGTCCCAAACCGGTCGATTTAGATATGAGGAAACAAACCACAAAATGTAAATATGTCAAGTTGACTGATAATAAATATTTGTAATTTATGTGCTATTAAATTACCCTTTCGTTTAAGGCTATTTTAAATTTCCTTAGTTACTGAGTTTTATCAATTTTCGAAGCTTTTATCGATGAATCTTATATCCATGACCTATAATTGAAGTATTTGAAGGCATGTAGACTTAATAAGTACATTATCAAATATGCTTCGTAATGTAGGAACGGATATTATAATTAAATGTATGGGGCATATGGCAAAATTGCTCTAGACACACACTACACATAATACATTTGGCCTAAATAAATAGTTTGTCTGTTGACTGCACGAACAGTCACACACACACTGACACACACAGAGAGAGAAAGACGCATTTATACGAACATATTCATATGTGGCAAGTGTTTTTTTAGCAATAGGAAAAGTAAACAACAGCCATAACCAGATAAAAGCAGTTAATTTTATGTACACACGCACACCCTAACACACACACACATACACACAAATACAGGCACACTCAAATCCACGTAGGCATTAAGCTGGAACTCTGTCAGAGCACTTCGAATGGTCCAAAAGGTTGCCATTAAATTTAAGTGGCCAGTTGGTGCAGTGGGAATGGGGGTTGGCTATGAAATGAAATGTGACAACGAAAATAGCGAACTAATTGCCGGCTTAGGGAGATCAACGGGATCCCGCCATGTCCGGTTGTAGCAATTACCGATTTGTTGCAGCAACCTTCGCTAACATTGCCCCACATTCGGTTGGCCGCCTGCCCAGCGAAAATGAAGTACACTTTTTTTTTTTTGGTTGTTGCAAATGTCGCTTCCGCTTATGGGCTGTGAGACAGAAAATGATATGAAATTTGCCAGCAGTGCCAAATTTAAACGCATTCAAGGCCGACATTTATGCACTTCTTTTGACAGTTATTTATAACTTTGGGGCGCCCCACATAGGAATTGATGTGATTTTTAACTATGGGCGCCTAGTTTTCATCTGTTTCCGTTTTCGTAGCAGTGACTCAAGGCCAAAGCCAAAGCCAAAGCCGAAACCGGAGCCAAACTCGTAAAGTTTGGCAGAGTTTTGCTTAATGCGCAGGCAGCATGAAAAATGTTACGACTCAAAGTGCTCCAAACTGAAATATCCTGATAAGCTTTGACTTCTCCTTCAAGCATTTTAGTAGTGGCAGCGGCGTTAAGAATTTTATGATGACACATCGGGCAAACGAAAGGAGCCGGAGGCTACAAAAATGAATAACCATACTGAATATCCTTTGTGAAATAGCCTTTTAAGTGATTTGGGAAAGGCGCTGCCAGCTAAAGAATACTCTCCTGATAAGCATGCCAATTTTTTTTTGTCAATTTCAATAAGAAAAAGAAACGCCTGCAAATTTTTAAACTTAAGTTTCTCTGGCTTATATTAAATATTTGATTAATTGCTTGACAATCAGAAAATACATGATGCTTAAGTTTTCTCTTTAGAAATTCATATCTTTGAGAAATAAATTTTCTGTTCAGTCACCTGTGGAACGCTGTGAATTCCTTGAATTTCCTTGAACACGATTCCCGATGGTACTTGAAATATGACGCAGCAAAAAAAAAAACACTTGTCCGGAGTATAACAAAAAACATATAAAAAGTCTTGAACTGGAGCCAGCATATACATAAAAAAAGAGATCACCAAACAATAAACATAAATTTATTTATGTTTAAAAGAAAAATAAATGTATATATGTATACCTTAAGAATGAAAACACTTTCTTAAAATCTTAGTCAAATCGTAGGATTTTGCAATTCTTCAATTAATTCTTCTGCTCAATAACTTTAAGAGCACAGCAATGCTAAACTGAAATCTCAGATTTTTAGAAAGATTGATTTTCTTAAAAATAAACTGCGCTGAATTTGTGGCAAAAATCATTGAAATTTTATAATTTTTGGATATCATTTTATCAGGCATAGTCAAGGCTGCCAAATGAAAATGCAACTGCTGTGGACTCTGCTGAGTTTGGGAAAAACACACATACCATTAAAGTTATATTTGAACAGATGTGTGTGTGTGTGTGTGAATGTGTGGGTGACTAGCGATGATGTCACACTGTCTGCTATGCGGGTCAATTTCAAAGAATGTATGTGACTATCGTCAAGACATGCCGAGGCTGCCGCAATTTTCCTCTTTTTCCGTCACAGAGAGCATTGTCAGCATTGCCCCGAAGCAGTGCTTGCCACCTCACCCCCCTCTCATTACTCCTTACTTCCCCATGCCACCCACCCCTTTATCTTGCTTGGCAACACGATTCTTCACTCTGTGAGGGATTAGGTGCTGGCATCCTGCTGCTGCTGTTTGGCTGGCAGCTGCTTTGCGTGCAGTTAGAATTTAAGAGTCCAAGGCCACTAAATGTCAAATTGAATACATATAAATATTTAAGTTCGCTTGGCAAATGATGCAGCAAAATTGTTGACCTTCGTTTGGAGTTTGTTGTTGATACTTTTGTTTTTGTTTTTGTTTTTGAGGTTATTTTATCGACCAATCGACGGCAAAGGCAATTTTGCAGTTGACTTAGGACCTAATACTAAGTATAAACATGAATCATATACACACACACGAACACCCTCTCCCGCACAGCAGCACTCCGCTTTCAGCATGCAGTCGCCGGCGAGTATGCAACAATTTCGAGCTGCACAAATTGCGCATACGACACGTTGGCGTTACTATGTTATTTTTTGTTGTTCGAAGCGACACTTTTCTCATGTGCAAATCGAATTATGTACGCGTGGCTGTGTTCGACAGAGAAAGGCAGAGAGGAAGTCGAATCACCATTTTATTGAACGAGCAACACATTAATATTTATATTTATATTTATGCGTATGCGTCTCATAATATCGTTGGAGGGTTTTTTGCTGCTTTTATGTTTGTTGACTGCAAATGCAAAATTTGTAAGCTCATTTGTTTTCGGTTTTATCTTTCGCAGCTATTTGCAATGATTTTTATGTGCCTTCGTGTTGAATTTATTTGGAAATGGATTATTATTAATGGGATTAAATCTAATAA